ATATTGCAAAAAAAAATAATTATTTTTCCCATTATTCTTCTTTAAATAATTTTATAATATTTTAAAAGAAATACAGATTAAATTTAAAATTTTTATTTGTTAAAAATAATTTTAATTTTCAAGTTTAATTTAATATTAATTAGAATGATTTCTATTTTAGTCTAAACCTGAATTAAAATTAATTTATCTATTAAAGGTTTGTTTCAAGTTTTTTTAATTTTTATAAAATTTTTTATTTATATTTATATTTTATATATATAATAAAATTTAACTTAAACGTTGGTAATTTGAAAATATAAAAGTTTTTTATTCAATCAATTTTTTTATAAGACACCAGAAGATTCACTACAAAAATGTCTATTTTATTACAGTGATTTTATAATATATTTATTATAATTTTCAAATAAAACTAACATAATTATTTATTTATATACAATTTATTTATTTTCTATATAAATAGAAAATATAGAAAATGATAAATTATATAAATGCCCATTAAGGAATTGTATTCCTGATCAATCAAAATTCGTAAATAATTATATAGGCCACACTACAACATGTTTGACATGCAGACTCACTCTACACCTTTTCTGACCATAGCTCAATTAGATCTCATTTAAATATTCATGGAGACCTACCGACACTATTCGTAACATACTTGTTGACAACACAAACATAATAGCATCATCTACATGCAAAAAAAGGCTAAAAATAATGGAAGCCTTATTAATAAAAGCAAAATATAATATCAACTATGAACATGGACACAATATCTTGACCTTGTTTTGAAAAATGAAAACATTATATAAATACATACAGACAACAAACTATTTCTTATTTAACAGTTAAAATATTTCATCCTTGAAAATGGCTAAATGTATAGCCAAAAGTGCTTGGATTAAAAGAACATTTGGACAGTTTTTATATAATTTATCATCTGAAAAGAAAAAATTATTAGAGCACATAAGAAATTGTATAAAAAAAAAAAAAAAGTAATGTCTAGCTATTCCAGTAGTAGCATCAAGAAGGATTTTCAAATTGGAATCACGCAACTAAAGTTTTTCACATTGAATTTAATTCAATTAAGGTATGAACAACATGCAACTGAGAATAAAAGGGTGAAGAAATTTAACTGATTCCTTTGTTGGTGAATCCCATGAAAAATGATAAAAAGGGTTATAAATCAAAATGTAAACTGTTTTTTTGTAAAAGATTAAAAATATGGATTTGATCCCAACTTAACAACAAATCACATTAACGACGCCTTTTCAGCCCAGGACATTTAACCTACAAAATTATATATGGAAGGGTTTATTAATTTATTATTTTGTATCTTAAATAAAAAACTTTCTGAAAATGAAAAGAACAGTGTGTCTTATTTTCTACACCTACAGATTGTTAAGATGAAATAAAAAAAATTATTCATGCCCCAAATAATAAATAAAATATATTACTATTTAATGCTTATACAATTCCCTATTTCCTTTAAAATATAGATTTTTCACAAATATTTTATAATAATTGTATTCTAATTCCAATAACAATAAGAACTTTCTGTTTGTGCAAAATAAAGATGTTCAATATAAAAATTTTTTATTTCAAACAACATTTTCCAGATAATAATCTAAGAGAATATGTGTTTGTTTTATTTTAATTTCTACTTGTAAATTTGCATCCATAGTAACTGATCCAGTTATTATTTGGGGATCTGCATTGTGTGTTGTTAATTTCCTGAATTCTTTTCCTTCTCATTTGTCAATTTTAAGACATTATTTAAAAATGGATATAATAAAATGGTAGTAATAAGCTGTGCTTTTTTATCACTTATTTTCTTTAATTTTTTATTTTTAATTCACTGAAGATTTTTTTCTATATGCATGTATATAACTTTTACATCTAATTAGCACAATATGATTTTTCTTTCATTGTTGTTCCTTTTCTACTCAAGTTTATTTAAAGTGAAGTTAATATAGATACTAATATGTAATCACTCACTACAAGATTTTATAAAAATATAACTGCAGCAAACTGTTTTTTTTTCTCAAGTTTAAAAGAATATCAATTAATACTTCTAAAATCCATCATTGTTATTATAGTTTACTTTGGTTACATCATTATGTACATTTACTTTTATAGTATACCTACATATATGTTTACATATTGCATTTATCTTTGCTATGCATCCTCTATTTCTGTCTTAATTTCTTGCATATCAATTTTTTGAATCTGCCTCTTGAGCTCTTTTTTTCTTTTTTTTAAAAACAAAAAAAGAGTGGCCGTAACAGCTAAGATTTTATCATTTTCTTAATATTTTTTTAAAAAACTGTTCTTTTTTATTACCTCTTCACTGAGAATACTGCTGTCTTCAGTATTCCAGGTATTCATGCTTGTGTGGAAACAAATATCATTTGAAGCTACCAACAACCAAATTTTCTTGCTGCCTCCATTATTTTTCTATACTTTATTTATTTTATCCAGACTATTTTGTTGCATTTGCTTTCAAAAATGTATTGGGAAAATAAAGCATATATTTTAAAAAAAATTCCATATGGGTTAAAAAGCAAAACACTGTTAAATGGTCCTAGCCTTAGGTAACAAATCCATTTTCTCGGAAGGAAAATTTTAAATTCAAAACCATGGCGATTTACAGATAATAAAAAAAGGAATCTGTGGAGTGCCATAATTGCTTATGTCCTGTTGGAATGTATTTTGTGGTATATTCTTTTAAAGTATTATTTAAAATTTTTTTAAATATGTTATTTATGTAAAGGTATTTTTCATACAAGTCATAAATAAAGCTTACAGTAAGTGAATTACTACTACTAATAATAATCAATATTAGAATATATATTTTATTATGAAAACCTTTTAGCATTATTAAAGCTTTATATAAAATGGAAATAGAAATGTATTTGGAATTATTTATTCTGAGCTGAATATAATTAAGTATAAAATTGTTCATTTTACATCAAATTTATGCTCAGAATTTCAGTGTTTATTGAAATTCACAATACTAAGAAACATGGAAAGATGTTCATAAAAACATTTTTCAAATTGAAAAAAATCCTTTGTGTTTCTTTGGTGCTATCACAAGGAAATTTCATATTTTATCCAAAATCTATATTTTCATCAATTTTATTATATTTGGCCTAAATTTAAAGGAAATACTTTAACCTATTTCATTTTAATTAAAGATCATTGAAAAAAAAAAGTCAACTTGTGCAGTTTTCATACTAACCTTACAAGTCATTGTTAGTAAGAAATGAACACACTATTTGTCTTAGTAATGTTACTAATGTTTCAATTGTTAGCCAACAAATATGTACAGAAAAACTAATTAAGTGCTATTATCTAACTTCAGTTAAGAATTGAAGGTGCAATTATTCTTTGGAGTAGGGAAATGTTATTTTAGATGCCTGATGAAAATATTTCACTTATTTGAAACTTCTGTTTTAATTATATTATTATTAATATATATGACCAATTTTCAAAAAGTGTTTGTGTCATGTACATGTTATCACAAGTTACTGTTAGTCATTCTGCATAGAAATAAATTTATTTTCCTTTCTGAACTTTTGCAGATTTATATTTATATCCCCATATGTTTTCATTTTTTCTCTTATTCTGTAAATTCCAGTATTTAAATTATTTTTTTCTATTAATTTTGTTCATTGTGTGAATTTTGTTTTTATTTTCATCATTTTTCTTTTACTTAATTTTTTTTTTTTTTCAGCTATTCATATACTTAAATAATTTGCAGTTATTTTCAAATTAAAATAAATGGAATGAAATGGTTCTGTCCACATAAATTTATCCATCTAGTAAGAAACATAAACTATTAGTGACATTAACCCAATGATCATTGGAACACAAACGAAATAAAATATAACAAAATAAGGTACCTGTCATTATTTCAGTTATGAAAGTTCATATGTTAACAGAACTCCATACTATACTGCAAACTCTTCAGTAAGCATGAAAAAGACTGTTCCTATATTGAAACTATTGCAGCATATGGAATTATTTTGATTAGCCATGTGTTTTCATTACTTGTCTGTAAAAGTAGCATTCACACACCATGAAATGATAAAACTCTAAGATTGTCCTGTCTGAATTAATATATTTTCAGTAATTTATAGCTTGTATTGTGAACCTGGAGTTAGTTTTTTTTTTTTCTATGCTTCAACAGTATGAAAAACTTCCAAATCTGAAATTTTGTTTACAAATAATTTGCTTTGTTTAATTCCCCAGAAGTTCTTGTTTAACAAGAAATTTTTTTTCCAAAACTATTTCAGAATGCTGAATTTTTAAAAAATTTGATTGCAATATATTTGTTGCAAGAAATTAAAATTGAACATAATATTAACAAATTTTTGATCTTTTGACAACTGGATGTGCTCATGTTAATTTGGAGTCATGTAGTTTTTTGTTTTTTTTTAAATTCAGTATGACTATGTTATTGATATGTATGTTTATTGTCAGTTCAGATAATAAAAATAGAAGTAAACAACCACAATTCTAATACACGGTTAAGTGAACATTTAGGCAATTAAAAATAGGTATCATTATCAGCTCTTAGCAGTTACAAAGTAAGATGAGTATTTTTGCTTGAATAAGTAAAATAAATAAAGCAGTCTGTTAATGCAACTAGGTTCAGACGACAATGCACTAAAAAAATTCACTAAAGTCACATATTTGAAACTTTTTAAATTATATCCTAACTTTTAAATATTTCAGGCACCTACAGAATGTATAATGGTTAATTTTTAATCATTATTTTTTCAGCAATTAAAAAAATGTAAGCTTTAATCTGAGGATTAAATTGCATCCCACTCACTTTCTTTCTTTTTTTAAGTTTTGTCATTGTTTTATTTCCTCAAACTATATTCTATCATTTTTTTTGTTTGTGTTATATACAGAAACCAGCTGCAGAAGATAAAAAGTGTGAACCTTGGACTTTTGTAGCCAAACATAAATTGTCTGTGGAAAAAGAACTTGCTATGATTCCTGACCTTAATGTTTTGTTTGTACGGCCAGCTATTGTTTATGGGCCAGGTGATCGCCAAGGACTTAGTAAGTATTAATTGCTGTTCCATGATTAAATTTTTAGTATTTGCTAGTCACTCTCTAAAACACCATTGAAATTGCATTGCAAAAAATCATAAAAGGAAATACATTACAAGTAATTTATTATAAAAACCCCAGTTTAACTAAATAAGCACAAATCTTAGATATCTGTCACTTTTCTCTGATACACATTTCTTTTGATGAGGAAATAGTAAAAAATACCTTGCTTCCATAACACAATATACAGATATTTTTTGACAATATATTAACTACTTAATGTAGTGTTGATATTAAAACAACTATTTTTTTTCTTCTTTAGCTCCTCGTTTAATTATTGGTGCAATATACAAGTACATCAGAGAGAAGATGAAAGTACGTATTTGGACTTAAATATCATCATAAAAATGTTTTTATTTTTATTAATAAAAATTTTCAGGGATGCATGAAGAAATGCACTGATGGTTTTACTTTTCTCCTCTTTGCAAAATTGTTATAAAAATCCATTTATCATAAAAATACATTGTCATGCCATTACAACAAATAATTATTAAAAATGTTTTTAATTTACTACTCTGAAATAATCTTTATTTTGTATTGTGAACTGGCATTTTTGTACATCCTCTCTCCTTCATTCTCTGTATATAAAATATGTGTGCATTTTAATTGATTTACTCCAGAAAATGAAACAATGTGTAATATTTTTATTCCATATTTATATCAATTTTGCCAAAAAAATTAGAAAACTACCAATTTCCTCCTTTGAACTGAATAACTATCAAGATGATTCAAGCCTAGCAGCTGATCTCTTGACTGATCTAGCTCAAATTGTTCAGTGGGGGAGGGGGGACTGGCTTGAAACTTTCAGTAACTTCAAAAGTCAAGCTAATATTATTTCACACTGATCAAACCCAGAGTTTTCCCTAGTCATGATGAACAGTTGCTCTCTCAATGAGGCTTCTTCACTCCAGATATCAATTGGGATTATCTATTACCAAAGATGCTGGAAACATCCTCAACTCGCTGTACTGCTCCAGAAAGTACTTTACCCTTTCCGCTATACTTTACCCTTTCCGCTATACTTTACCCTTTCCGCTATACTTTACCTTTACAAGATTTGACCAAAATTTGATAAAAATTGGAGTATTGCTGTTATATCTGTGCTGGAACTTCACAATCCTCACTTTCCAACCTTGACAGTCCAAAATCATTTATGTGGCCATGTGGGTGATGACTTATTTTCCACCTTATTGCCCCTTTCCCATAGATGCAATGTTGCAAACCTGTTGTTACTCTATCACTATTTCTATGGAAAATGTTTGAATGAACTTCATTCTTTAATTCTGCCAATTCAAACTTTCACAGCTAAGACATTGAATTTACTAAAGTTTGCAACATGTTCTATTCATGGTTTACATTTGACTAGCACTGGGACCAATGTAGTAATTGCAAGTTAGCTAAGTGTTCCAGGAAATAGTATTGTTACTCATGCAAAATGTTAGATTACGTTATCTGGAAGTAACTATCACCACCAGGAAACATTGTGAGCATAAAAAGGGGGTGTAACAATGGTCTTTAATAAGATCTGTTCATATGATATTCGTCAAGATAGACTTGTAATCCTTGTAAACTCCAACAAAACATAGTCCACACCATTGTAAGATCACACCATCTCATAAAACATACTGTTGACCAAACACTCTGCCTCATGTGGTCTCCTTCATACATAAATTCAACTGTTCAAAAGAATTGGAAACCTGATTTGTCTGATCAGGCACCTGTCTTCCAGGCTCCAATGCCCATTCCTTGGACAGGCAGTAATGAATACCATTGTGTTAGTAATAGTCTCCTTATTGGTTGATAACTACAAAACTCTATGGAATACAGTATATGCTGTACAGTGTGTTAATAGATAGATTTAGCAGCACTATTTCACTTTGGGAGATGGTTATCATTCTTATCAGTTGTGGGAAGTCTCTTTTTTTTTTTTTTTTTTTTTTTATCATCAACCATTTTCATGTGCTATTCTGTTTGAAATTTACATATATCTGGCACATCCTTTGCTACTGTTACCCAAGAAAAATCAAAAGCAGTTGCTATCTTTATAGTATCCCATTTCTCTAACTCCAACAGTCATTCTACTAGTCAGGAAGTTTTAAATTCTGTCCCATGACTGTTACAGCTACATTACCTCTTTACCTATTATGGCATTATCTGGTGTTTCTCCAAATCTAGGAGAATGAAATTATCCCCTATACTGTTGTCATTAATTTTTGGCATTTCATTTTATATGCATACATACTTTCAAAAGTATTAATAATTAATTTTATATATTGACAGTTAAATCACTTATGTGAGTACAAATTTTGTATTATTTGACATTCTCATTGAATTGTTCTATTCTCAATAATATTAAAAAAAAAACAGTTGCAACAGAATTTGTTTCATAAGGCATAATTTTTGTACTTTTATGTAGAAACAGTAGGCAAAAAAAAATTAAATGGCTTTTAAAAAACACTTTCTCTCTCAATTTTTAATTAAAGTGTGCAATAAATGAATCAGTTGAAAGATGTTTTTGACATTTTCTTTGTTTTTACTTGTAGATGTTATGGACCAAGGAACTAAAGATGAACACTGTTCATGTTGAGGATATTTGCCGAGCTCTCTGGTTTCTATGCAATCATGGTAAAACTGGAGAAGTTTATCATATAGTAGACAAAGGGGATACAAGTAAGTCTGACATGTCATACAATTATTTTATTAGAGCAAAATTTTAAAAAGCAGAACAAGATATATTTGATAAGTTAATCTCTGACTTTGTCAATTTGTAATGGAATTCAGATTAAATAAAAAGTTTCACTCTTTGTAACAGCCAGATTGAAACTGTAAAACTTAAAACTCTGATAAATAATTCAATTTTTAGATATATTTTGTCAAAAATTTTGTTTTTTATATTTGAATAAAGATTTTTTTTTACCTTTATTTCAAAGTTTTTATTATATTTCAATAGAGGATAAAAAGTTTTTTTTTTTCTTATCTGTAATATGAAGTAATAAAAACCCAAACCTTATGGCCACTAAATCAAAGCTAACCAAAATAAACTGATCCAAACTTTTAGTATAATTTCTAAGTTTATATAACCATTCAAATTACGTTATTTTTTTTTTATTCATTTGTTGGTTTTTTGGGGTTTTTTTTTGCAGCTCAAGGGAAAATCAGTGAAATAGTCTCAACAATATTTAATATACAGCATGAGTTTGTTGGTTCTAAAATGTCCACCATAGCTAAGGTAAATATTGATTTCTGATTTTTTTAATAAAAGAGAAATACATTTTTTGTTTTAATTAATCATAATTTAATGATTTTATTTGAAGTTTTAAACTTCAGTTTAAGTTGTAAAATTGATATTTGCATTAACAGATAAGTAAATATGCATTTTGTTTCATTTTTAAATCCATTGTACTTATCAGCCACTGGAATGTAAAGATATGTTATAACAACTTAAATTTTAAAATTAATCTAACCCCTGATATATTCTGCCATATTGGCTCCTCATTTAAAAGGAAATGTCTTTGACTAATAACATCAAATAAGAAATAGCATATTTGTGAGTATGTAGAAAATATGTTCATTTCAACAATAGAAACTATGGTAATTAAAGCTATTTTAGTTTAGGAAGAAAAAACTTTATGGGAGAAAAATGAATGTTTTTTGAAGTCATTTTGTTAATGTTAAGATTATTTTCTGATTTCTTTTTTTTTTTTGTTTTATAATTGTCTTTTCAGTTGAATATGAACAATATTGTGGAAGAAATCAATGACAAACATATGGAACCATGGGCAGATGCCTGTCAGAGAGATAATATCATGAATACTCCTCTGAATCCTTTTATTGATCAGGTAACAAAGTCAACTTTTCTTTTTTAAGAGTTTATATACTATCTACTTTGTTTCCTGCAATGTAAAGTACACATTGTTTTTTTCTTTTTTCAAATAAAATCTTTCAACAATTAGTCTGTTTTCTACACTGATTGCAGAGGTTACTGCTACTAGACAGACCTAAACACTTTTGTTTGACCCACTAGAGTCTTGATGACCACAGAATTAAATATATATGATTATCCTACTCATCCAGACTTCCAATAATATTCCACTCATTCTGATAATATCAATGGAATATTGTTTTTTCTCTGTTAAATTATAGGTACATTTTACATGGAAGGAAATATTGTATCAATTATTAAAAACATCTATAACTCCTCAATTTATCCAAGCTATACAAATATTACAATACAGTGTTAGAGATTTTGTTTACCAGAAATTTGAATGACAATGTTAAGCATATGTTTGTTTATATTTATCTACAGTGTATATAATATCTTTTTCAAAGTACTTTTTCATAATTTATCCAGAGATTCATTGAAGGTTTATGTCTACTTAATTTCTTATTGTGTTGGTGTAACACTTTCAGTATTTTCTCAAGATAAAATAATACAATTTACATTTTCTAACCAATTCTATTTTAACAAGAAAAGCTCTGATAAATTTCAAGCAATAACTTTCAGCAACTTTGAACTATGTTTTTTCTGTCTGAATTTCTGGGATGAGAAGTTATTATTTACACTATTTACATTTGGACTAGTGTCCTCATCTTTATTGTTGTCATCATCATGTTTTGGCTATTGTGCCTTCTAGCCTTCATCAAGTAAATACTGATCTGAACCTACAGGGAATTCTGAATTGAACCAGTTATTTATTCTATGAGAGCATATTAATCTTCTTCAACTGCCCATGTCTAGAGATATCTCATCTAGTTCTTATTTTTAGTACTGCTCAACCTGTTTCCATGGAGTTCAAATACACTTTTCCCAGCCCAGTGATTGAACTCACAATTACTATGTCACCAAATTCATGAAATAATGCTTTAATACACTAGGTTATTGTCTTGTGCAGGATTTGGAGCCTTAAACCTAACTTGCCATTCTGCTGATGAGTCCTGCAGCTGGAAGAACATCAAAAAGGTGTGAAAGGGTGAAACAATAAATCGGGCATGTAGTCATCAGCCCCTGTGGAGTGAAATGAAAATACTAGACAAGAAAATAAATGGGAGAGTTAGACATCTGAAAGAATCGGTGTATATGATAGTCTATAAGGACATCCTTGGTAGACCTAGCATAGAAATAGTTACAATATGGGAGCTGATAATAAAGAAAAACAAATGACAGAAGATCTTCAACAGCAGTCACTGTAACAAATGAGAAAATCTACATTGAGTGCAGTCAAGCATGACAAGGAGCAGCTGCACACTCATCAACAGACAGGCAATTTAGGTTTTAGGTTCCAAGTTTTCTACAGAGAATTGTTCTACAGGCTAATAGTGTAGTGTTGGTTCATGAATTTGGTGATCACAGGAAGTCATCATTATCATGTGAAACCTAAATGCCAAAATAGGCAAGAAAAGGGCAGGGGATATAGTGGGAAGATTTGGATTAGGAACACACAACGAATGCAAAGAAAAATGGATCCAATGGTGCATAGCCAATGACCAGGTAATAGCCAACACATGGTTCCAAGAACACCCGAGATGACTATAGACATGGAGGAGTCCAGAAGTAGAAACTAAAAACCAAATTGATTATATAACCATCAACAAAAGATTCGGGAATGCAATGACTCACTGCAAAACATACCCAAGCAGTGACTGCAGAAGTGATCATTGCCCTCTTATATATAAACTAAGAGTGAAACTGCGGAAATTAAAGAAGCCTAATGCAGCACCCAAACTGCAATACAACAAGCTCCTGAATGTTCCTAACCTAAAAGAAAAATATATGGACAATGTGAAGAGAAGATATGAGGCACACAATGGAAACTTGAAATGGGATGCAGTAAAAGACGCTCTAGTGACATCAGTAAAGGATATCATCCCAAAGGAGAATGGATGAAGAGGGAGAAATGAGTGGATGATTGATAAGATTCTCGACATGATGTAAAGAAGACAGAAAACTCTGCCAAGACACGGAACAAAGTACAGAAAATTACACAATGAAATAAGGACCAAATGCAGGCAAGCTAAAGAAGAATGGCTAAATGAAAAATGTGCAGAAATAGGAAGATTGAGTACGACCAACAAAAGAAACATGCACAAACAAATACGACAACTCACAGGACAGAAGACATACTCGTCAACAGGCTGCCTAAAATCAAAGGATGAAATACTCATATTAGAGAAGGAAAAATTCTTCAACACTGGAGTGAGTATATTGGAGAATTCTTCCACAATGAAAGGGAACAACCAGCAATAGACAGAACTACCAACAAATCTTGAATTCTGAAAACTGAAGCGAAAGCTGCACTGTCCAAATAGAACAGAAACAAGGCATCTGGGTGAGACGGAATTGTAGCAGAAATGCTGACAACCTTAGGTGACTTTGGCATGATCACCGAAATAACAAATGAAATCTCCAACAGCAGGGATATACCGGAAGACCTCAGCAGATCTATCTTAGCTATGCCTAAGAAATCAGGCACAAACAAATGCAAACTCCACCGAACAATAAGCCTAATGAGCCACGTGACAAAACTTATCATCCATATTCTAATGAACAGAGCACGCAGCAGAATCAGGCCAGAGATAGGATAAGAACAGTGCGGGTTTGTTAAAGACACTGGAACAAGGAATGTGATATTCATGCTCAGAATGTTATCAGAAAGAGCGATACAAATGCAGAAAGATGTGTACCTGTTTCATAGACTACACAAAGTCCTTTGGCAAAGTATACCACAAGGATCTAATGGAACTGCTCAACAATGTTGATATATTCAGGAAAGATATCAGAATAATCAAGAACCTCTACTGGCAGCAAACAGCATGCATGTGTATAGGGAATGAGTTCAGTGGATATACAAAAATAGAAAGGGGCATAAAGCAAGGATGCTTCTTCTCCCGATGTGTTCAACCTATACAGCGAGGTAATCCTGAGAGAATTGGAAAGCCTACTAGGATTTAGCATTGGCAGCCACATCCTTACCAACATAAGATACGCAGATGACACAGTCCTGATAGCAGGCATAAAAATGAAATTACAAAATCTCCTACAGAAGGTAGTGACAGGGTGAGAAGAAGGGACTAAACATGAACTACAAGAAGACGGAGTGCATGGTGATCAGGATGAGCCTGAAATGTGATCTTAAGGTCAGGAACACTAGAATCAAGCAGACGCAGAAGTTTAAATACCTGGAAAGCATCTTGACTGAGGACAGTAAATGTGACTCGGAGATCCGTAGGTGTAATGGGATGGCCAAGGATACATTCCAAAAGCTGGGCAGAGTACTGTGAGACAGGAGGATATCTTTGGTAACAAAGAAAAGGATACTGACCTGTTATGTGACATCTGACCTTCTTTACAGCAGCGAATGTTGGGCGATTACCTCAAAGATGAAGAAGAGACTTGAGTCAACGGAGATGTGGTTCTACATGCTAAGGATATCATGGACCAAGCATGTGAGCATTGATGAGATCTTAGAGAGGCAGCAAACAAGGAGGAGGCTTATACTTAATATCAAGAAGAGGCAGCTGAAGTTTCTTGGACACATAATGAAGAAGGAGAGCCTGGAGAATCTGATACTCCCAGGTCGAATAGAGGGAAAAAGAGACAAGGGAGAACTGCGCATGATATAACCTGACAAACTTAGGCAGGTGGATGACAGAACGTGGTCTGGAGGAGAAAGCAGAGGGAGGGAACTTGTTGAGAGCCATGATTGCCTACATCCTGAAAAGACATGGCACATAAAAAGAAAACAAAGTAGTAACTGTGAGTACTTGAACTCAATGGAAACAGGGCAAGAAATAACTGAGCAGCACTAAAAATAATAACTAGATGAGAACAGTAGGTAAATTTGCTTTTTAGCACCCAAACAGCTGAGTGCTAAATATCACTTAAAATTTTCCCAAATCATCATAATTCTGTGTAAATGTATGCTGAACTCGAATTAACAATTATGAAGAAACCTACTGTTTTGGAGTTATCAACAAGAAAAAAATCAAACTTCTTGTTAGTCATTCGTCCGCCATTACTGTCATAATGTTCACTAATTCACTGTGGCGTAAGCATAAATTTTGGCCTATTTACTAAGAAGTAACACACACTACTGTAAAGAAATGTAATTGATTAGTGTAGTTTTACTTAAAATTAAAACAAACAAAAATTACAATGTAAAGAAAAGGCTAGAAAGAAGTTTTTTTTTTCTTTTTTTTGAAAATAAAACAAGAAGAAAGTTAACTTTCAAATATGAAAATATTGACAAATTAAAAAAATAACAAATTGAACAAATTAAATAGTTAAAGTAGTTTCATTAAAAAGCAAATTTACCGAACAGTATATCCCCATAGACTATATAAAAGGTTCAGTTTGGAATTCCCTATAGGTTACCCAGATTGATATAGACCTGATGAAGGCTGGAGGGCACAATAGTCTGAATGTAAATAGTATATACTGCTTTTCTTTTTCTAAACATAACAAGGCTCAGATTAGTCTAAAATTCAAGCATATTTTAAGCATGAAGCAAGGGTCAATTTTTTTTTTTTTTTAACTCGCATAAAATAAATGAAATTTCATCAAGGATATATTTTAAGCATAAATAAAGCTTAAACTGATTATTTGCTTGGCTAAAATTATCTGATGCTTATTTAAAAAAAAAAATCTATTTGTAACAACTCATATTGGAGCCACTAAAAACTTTTTCTTCAGCCAGGACATTAGAAAGAAAAATTGTTAAAAGTAATATTTTTACAAAGAATATAATTCACATTATTTACATTATTCGGACTATTGTCCTCATCTTTGTCGCCATATTTATTACAACATTTTGCCCGTTGTACACTCCAGCCTTCTTCAGGTGGTTGGAATTTTGAACTGAACCCTTTATTTCGCTCACTGGGGTAGACTGTTCTAGTTCCACATGCCATGTTTAATGGGTGTCAGTTATCAGTTATCTCCTGTTAATTTCCCTCTGAAAGTTCTCTACTGCCTTAACTGGTTATTGAACTCACACTCTTTGGGTCTTGTCACTGGATCTAACCAACGCCTTTATCCACTGTGCCATGTGTCCTTGAGGACAGTGGAGAACTTTCAGAGGGAAATTAGGAGATAACTGATAACTGACATCCATTAAGCATGGCACGTGGAACTAGAACAGTCTACCCCAGTGAGCGAAATAAAGGGTTCAGTTTGACATTTCAATCACCTGAAGAAGGCTGGAGCATACAACGGCCGAAACATTGTAATAAATATGGCAACAAAGAGGAGGACAATAGTCTGAATAATGTAAATAATGTACATAATACCTCATCTCAGAAGAATATAATTTCATTAAATTATTGAAAAATGAATATTCTTCATCAGAATATATAAGTCTGTAAGCAATGATTAAGACTGATGTTTATGATAAAATAAAAAGCACTAAGCACATTGAATATCAATGGATTCTGCTATTTCAAATAAGATACAGACACAGACATACAAAGGCTGTATAAGTTTCTAGGTATTGAATGTTAACCATTGCCTTTAGGTGAATGTGTAATGTCAATTATTCTGACACTAGGAACTCCTTTCCTAAACTTGTATGGAAATGTCATCTTGTTCTGAAATGTAATTTATTTTTAATCCCATCTTTAAAAAGAGCTTATATTTTGGAATATTAGATTCCAAATAACAATTTTTGATTATACTTTCAATCAATTTTCTTATATTTAATCTAAGGTGGTGCTGAAAAGTTTCCAACCTGACCCACTTCCCAAAACCTAAATTAGCAAACATCAGATTTTTTTTTTTTTTTTTTTAAAATCTCTTGGTCAGTCCCTTTTTGTACATGATTAACATGTATTTTGGATAGAAGAAAAACTGCCAACTATGTTTTCTTTTTTCATTAGATTATTTTTCATTATCCAAATATTTAAATACTCAATTCATTTTTGATATTTTAAAAAATAATTTCACTTAGTTCCATTAAAGTGTTAAATATTAAAAGTATTAAATATTATTATTCTTCATGCACCTCCATAATTTCACTACATGTCATGATGGTTACCACTAGGTGTCATGTAGCAACAAATATCCAGCAATTGTGGTCTGCACAGTTGCTTCCTGCAATCTGTAATCTTGCTTGTTTGGGACAATTTCCAATTATTATGCACTTTAGTATTGCTTCAGCTTTCAAAAAATATTTTAGTAGTTTCTATTTTTAAAAAATTCATATTTCCCTTTTTTTTCTTTTTTTTTTTTCTCTCACTTCAATGAGATCTTGGATGGGGTGGGCTGCCTAGATAGGTTATATAGGTTTAAGTGTTTGGTAGCAAGAGAAAAGAATAATGAGGATTAAATCTTTTATTGTTGGTAGGTCATACAGACAAATTGAAGGATGTGTGGAATGTCCATTTCAGTGACCTGTCATCAGGCTGGTAGTCAGGTGTAAGAGCAACACTGGGGTTGACCTAATTCTTGTTTGGGTTTGGTGTAAGTTCACAGGATATGATTGGTGCCTGTGTTGGTCATTGAGGTCATGTTGGAAGGTAGTATATCGTACAAATAAATATGTCGAATCTAGATGAAATGTCAGTTTCAGTGGGCGATTGTCAGGATATTGATCTGGTGCAAGGGTAATGCTGGGAGTTGACTGGCCTGGCTGAGGTCACAGGATATGATCAGTGCAAGTTTGGTTGATCAAGGTCACGACAGGAAGTCATTTTGTTGGTTGGTAGACCTGTTGTGTTGAACCAGGGTGACATCAGATTGGCATCACATTGGTGAATCGAGTGAGTTGCATGCTTGCAGCGTTGGAGTTGCTGCTTGTGGAATCAGTCGGTTGTTTGTGGAGGTGACTACGTTGACAGTGAGGAAAGTTTGTAGCTTAGTGAGGTTGACATTGAGATGTTATCAAGTCAGTATTTGCTGGAGTGACAGCATCATCGATGATGAAGGTTTGTAGCTGGCTGAAGTTCAGATGTTTTTGAGTTAAAGCTGTATAGCCAAGGTGGTTAGTCAAGACTAGGAGTGGTAATGGTTGTGGAGAATTGTGGTCATGTTGAGTGGTGGCAGCAGCAGCACCCTGCATGATGGCTGGTGGCCTGGCAAGGCCACAACTGCTGGTGTTGTACTCAGATCTGCTTTTAAGTGGAAACATTCGCGATTGCCCACTGCTGTGGCTTGCTTCATAGACCAGATGTGATGTGTAGAGTCTAATGTGCAGAAAATGACATTTGTTATTTTGTTCTTTGCCTTCATGCCATTCACATCCAGCTAGCATCCAGAAAGAATCCAAAAGAGATCTAATTGTGATGGATTATAACAGGTTGAACCAAGTTGTTTGAACAATTTCTGCTAAATTTCTGTTTTTAGATTCTCATTACTCATTAAATTCCATCAGTGAATGCAGTATTGCATTATTTTAAAATTTCTGCTTCATCAATCTCTTCTTTGATTTAATTTGTTATATGTATCCTACATTAAGAGATTGGTTCTCTTTTTAAATATTTTCATTTCTATTCATCTATATTTGTGAAGTTTTCTTTATCCTTTTTTTTTTCTTTTGTTCTTGTTGAATTTGTTACTCATCTATCATTTGTTGTCCTTTTATTAATTACTTTGCTGCTACAAATGGTCGCATGATTCTTTCTCTTATCACTTGGTTAACTTAAGTTTGATTTCCCCACCACCACTGTTCTAGTAATCTGAAGGTATTTTAGAATTATGGTTTCAAAATCAAATTGTGGTTTGTTTCTTGTTTTTTCTCAGTTATTACTAAAATTATTTTGTTAATCTCTAATCAGTTTTTTTTTTTTGGTTCACAATTTGCATATCTATGTTCTCATCTTTGAGAGATGTGAATTTTCTCCCCTATCATTTCTCATACCATCTTTATATAATTGGAACATTTTTTTTCTTTTTAAGGATGATCTTCCCGATTAATATAAAATTAACATATAAAAAATTTGATGTAGCACTGTAAAATAATAATTTATGTGCTTAATGTAGTTTATTTTTATAATAGATTTTGAACAATAGTTTTGGAAACTAATAGGGAGATTGAATCTCCATGTGGAACATTTGTCATATCCCCAAATATATTTTGGAATTACCTCTGCAATATGTTTTTATTTCAACAGGAACTTCTATATAACAAGCATCTTCATTTGGATGGGTCCAGACTTGAAGCCCTTGGATTTGGCTATCAGAAACCAGAACTCACGATAGAATCAATGCAAGAAGTAAGTTTTTAAGGATTTATAAAGTATCTCTGTTTAAGTTGGTGTAATATTAAAGTGTAATTCTTCAAATACAATATATTAAAAATATAACGTTAAAATCTTATCTCATGCAATTTCAGTTGTCCCTTGGGTTAAATACATTTGCCAACCTTGTGTTAGTTTTTAATTAACAACTATAAAAAACGTACGCCTATTCAAAGAATGTGATAGCTGGAATGTAGTTATGAAGGATAAAGTTGAAATCAGAGGCACTTATTATCAAGAAAGCAGAATCTTTGACAAAAAAACAAAAACAGTTTTATGAAATGGAGTAAAATCAGTTTGTAAAAGATTACAGTAAAACAAAACTTACTGTGACATTTTCTAATAAACTAATAGTTATTGGACATAACTGTAATGTACAAAAAGCTGGGGATGGTACATTCTTTAGGGTAGCATCGGACACTTCCGCTGGGGCAGCTGGCATGTAAGTTGAGTGAATAAAGCATTGCGTGATCATTCCTGAAGTTATCCTATATGGTGATGAGGATGAAATTAAAACATCACCAGTGAGCAATTTTTTGTCCTCAGTGTTGAACACATTCTTGTCCATTTAATCAGTCTCTTTTCTGACAAAATATTCACCAGCTGGGTACACATTATGACTTTGTTTAGTCGAATTGATGAGTTTTTACCAGCACAGGGTGACTGGAGTACTTAGGCAGAGAGACTTGTGTATTAATTTGAGGCTAACAGCATTACAGACGCAAACAAAAAGAAGGCATTGCTGCTCTTAGTATGTGGAACAGAGACATTCTCTGTATTACAGGAGCTCATCACACCTGATAGCTTACAGGACAAAACATTTGACGAGCTATCACAAGCATTAGAGGAACATTGTAATCTAGCACTGTTCGACTTTTACATGTGCCTACAACAACCAAACCAGATCATCTCGGACTTTATTACTCACCTGAAAAAACAAAGTTCTGTGAATTTGGTCCCACTATCCATGATATGTTGAGTCTTACTGGTTGTAGGTGCTGCGGACAACCATATCTGCAGACATTTATTGGCTGAAAAGAAGTTGAATTTTGACAAGGCAAGATGATAGCCCTGGAGATTTGAAAGTGCTGACAAGAATGTTCACGACCTAGCAGCCTGCTCCAACACTACTGCACCCACCCAGCCCAACATGAGCCATGTCGACAGGAGGAATTCTTGTCAAGGACAAAACGGGAAACCATGTTTTCATTGTGATAGCAAGCATTCACTGGATTATTGTTGCTTCAAGCAAGCAACTTGCAATTTCTGCCAGAAAACTGACCATATTTCAGCAACTGAAAAGGAAAGGTACCAGAAGTTGTCAGATACATAGGGTCGACAGAGATGATTGCAACATCCTCTCTATTGTTTCAGGAGACACCATCTTGATGCACAAACTTTTCCATATCTCCTGGAAAAAAAATTAACCCTCTAATGGTATTAATGGGCATCAATGACAGCTGGGTAGAGATGGAAATTGATACAGGTACTGCAGTATCACTAATCAGCCATACTGTTTTTGACAGACACTAGCAGGGGCCTGATAAGCCAAAACTGAGCCACATGGCACAAAAACTTGTCACCTACACAGGTAAAAAGATCACTCCATGTGGTACCTGTGAAGTCACCATAACATATGACAATTGGCAGTATCGCCTACCTTTGGTGGTTGTACCAGGATCAGGACCTACACTGTTAGGAAGGAACTGTAATCAGATTCATCAGCTCAAGGCAGTTAACACCATTCCTGCTGTCGAGGACATCCTACAGAGGTACCCAGGCATTTTCAAAGACAAACTGGATGAACTAAGAAATTATACAGCAGTGTTGAAGGTCGACCCAAACACAAAACCCATCTTCTGCAAAGCACATCATGTGTCCTATGCATTGCAGGAAAAGAAGTATTCCTTCATCAATCTTGATTTGTGACAGGGAGCATTATCATGCATAAAAATGAGCTTGGTTGGGTCAATTTGCACCCTTTCAACAGAAGGGAGCAGACAAGACTCTAAAATTCTCTTGTACTGCTCACTGCTAAGGGTCTTTTCAATAGGTTTTAAGAAACCAGTTCCATGAAAAGAAAAGCATCCCCAGAACATTATACTGAATGGATGCTTGACAGTACTTACTGCTAAATTCAAAGAGCTTTCAAAGCTTCTTCTTCAGATTTTAGATCGCTTATCCTTTGAATTTAGCTCAAGTTTCGTTTCATCAGAGTAGAGAACATTTAGTAAAAAAAAATCAGGTGAGTCACTTTTATCGAACAGCACTGTAATTGTAACATTTTTTCTTTTAAGGATGACCTTCCCAAATGATATAACATCTACATAAAAACTTTGATGTAGCACACACACACAAAAATTTGTAAATTTAAACAATGTTCAGCTATAATTTTAACATCACCCTGACATTTTAATTATCAAGAAAAATATATATATGTAAATTTTGAAGTTTATGCAACAAAATAATAAATACGTTAAATATTATGTAAACATTAAATCAGTATTGAAAAATAACTCATTTTAAATGTTTTGGAGAATATGTACAATTGTGGGGGAAGATCAATTTCCCTTTCCTTGGTATTTTTAGGAATATAATTGATGTTAAATGAAAGAAAGAAGAAATTCTACTTGATTCAAATAACGTAAAGTAGAAAATTCAATGAAAAATAAAAATCTTAATTTTTCATGACTAAGAAAAATAATCAACAATTTTTTTTTTAATCTTAGGTGCTTGAAGATTACCTACATACTGGTCTCTTTCCACCATCACTTCTCTCTGACCAGAAATTATGGACCAAGATATCTGAAGATGAAGAGGCTGAAGATGGCCAATGATACTTGCACAAAACTTCAAGAAATATTGAAGAGAGAAAAATGGACAAAATCTTATCAATCAATAAATGATTGGACAAAACTGAAGGACTTTTTTTTTTTCTTGCAAATATTTACCAATGTTGCTTTCAAAGTGAAACATTTGTTCTGAGCTACTGTATTGTTTTCAGTTGTTTTTTTTTTTTTTTTTTTTTTTTTTTTTTTTTGGAGTAAAGTGGAGGGTATTTTCTCTCCCACCCCACCTTTTCTAGGTGAGTGTGTTGTGTAAACTTTTGCCAAATAGCTAAAAAAAAACTTAGGTTATAAACAAAGTAAATTAAAATCAAAGTAAGATACAATAAATTTTAATGATGGTTTTAAAAAATTCTTGATTTTTCATTTATTTTGAGGTAAATGAACAGAGATGCAGAATTTAAACCTCCAACTCCTTACACATTCTCAATTATAAAAAGCCAAAGAAAACTTGAAGATATTATGCATTATTTTTTTTATTGTGACACTTCATAATTATTTTTTGTCTTAAGAAATGTGTTACATATAATAATGCCAAATTAATTTTACAGAAAACTTAAAAACAGTTTCAATTACAATTTTAAAAAAAATAATTTTGTGTTTCAGACATAAAATTAAAAGTTGTGCATTAGAACTGGAAGTCATTTTTTAAGTTGAGCTAAGGTTTTAGTTCTCTGAAGCCGGGGTGAATTTGCAGTCAAGGTGCACTACAGTCTGTTGGTGATAATTTTTTTTTTTTATTTTATTTAATTCACATTGAGATTTTTGCTTCATTTTTATTATAATTATATCAATTTGAATATTTGTAAAAAAAAAAAAAAAAAAAATTTAGAATTTATGTAAGTAAACAAAGAATATATTTTGTAGTCTGAAATTTGAGGATATTAGCTTAAAAAGAAAAATAAATTTTCAGTTTGACATTGTCATCTTTTGATATATTTTGAGAGGCAAGGTAGTTTTCATTTGTCTAGGTTTTTTTTTTTTTTCAAAACTAGGGGGAAAGCAAACAACAAAGATTTTTGCTATTAGACTGGCATAGTATTTCTTAGTTAATGTAAATTATATATGGAATTAGTGAAGAGAGATAAATAATAGATACTTATCTCAGGATGTAGTAAATGCATGTCAATAGTAGTTGTCATTGTTTAATAGCTAAAAAAAATATTTGATATGATGTATATTCTTTTATTATTATTATTATTATTCATTGATGAAGTCTCATTCCTGAGAAGTGTTCTGTATTGTTGAAAGTAAACCTGAGAGTTGATTCAATTTGTGTTACTGGAATTAAATCACCTCTGTTCTGACTTCCCCCACTTTCAGGAAAAAATATTGCACAAAAAAGTGTTTTGTAATAAAGTTTTTAAGTAATTTTGTTTAGCCGTTTATATTTTAAGCTGGCCTTTAAAATGTTAAAGAATATTCAGAAAATTTGAAAAAAAAAATTCCTGCTAACAGCAAAAATTATGAATATTTATAATATATAAATATTTGACAAATGTTTTTGCTTACTACAACTTTTAAAAAAGGGAAAAGGTGTGTGATTTAAATTTGTCAATGCCAAGCTGCAGTGTATAATTCTTCCCCTGCCCCATAAAATTATTTATAATGAAAACGATTTTTTAAAATATTTGATATTACCAAAGATCATTTTTTAGATAATGAGGCCTTCTTAAGGAGAATTCATAGGCTGTAGCTGATCAGATATATGACTAAATCTTACACATTTTAGAGTCTAACAGTTTTTATTATCATTCTTAAACTTAATTTTTGTTATATCTGCTTTTTCAATTGTGAAGAATCAAAATATGTTAGAAATTTTTAAATAGGCTTTTTTGTTTTGTTAAAACATTGGATTTTCTTGGTTTTGAGGAAGAATAACTTTATTATATATTTTTTCTGTAATCAATTTTTCACAAGATTTAATAGCCTGATTTGCTTAAATGTGAATTCTCCTTAAATAATAAATTAAAAAAAAAAATTACAGAAATTTGTTGTATTTCATAAGTTGATATCCACTTGATCATCAGCCTCAGAGAGAAATTCCCTCAAAATATTACAGAAATTAATATTTTAATTTTAGAATTTTTTTTTTTTTTTTTTATCCTTAAGAAAAACAAAATTCTGACAAACCTCATGAAAGAAACAAAACTAAAAGCAATGTATACAATTGTGTGCACACACATTCATTTGCAGTCAATAAACATCTCAAGTGCAATATTGATCTTCTTTCCACCCTGCCCCTACCACTTGCCTTTTTGCACATTCATTCATATCTCCCTTTTCTCATTTTAGGTACATCATAATTCTAAATGTATATGTGTTGAAATTATTTTACTTTTCATTCCCTAACTCTGACATCTCTCTAATAAAAAAAAAAAAATTTATATTGAGAATCTACTTCCAAATTTTCACAATTGTGTATTTCTTACCTAAAGCATTTCTTTAATTATATTATTCTACTTTAAATTGCCCTCAATATCTGAGTGATACTTTTTTTTTTTCCTTTTAACTTGGCTCATCAATTCCAAATGATTTAAGGGACTCTTCCTCTTCATTGTTCTGTCTGTTAGATATACATTCCTAAGTTGTTTTTTTATTTTATTTTTTGTAAACCTGGCATTTAACAAATAAATAAAATGAAATCACTTAACTTTTATTCAGTTATTTTTTAAGTTATCAGTTCTATCTTTTGAAAAAAAAAATTATTAAATATTTATCCAATTTCATGTTAGTATATTGCAAAAGAACTGGTTTCTTCCCATTCTAAAGCAAATATTAACTTTAAAAAAAGTGTAACTGTAAATTTTCAACATACTAATTTTACTAAAAATGTTTTTTGGTGATCCACTTAAAAGTAGAAGCAAAAATAATTTTTTCACTATATTTTAGGGTTCTCTGAATTTTTTTTTTTTTTTTTTTTGCAGCTGTTTATTTTTATATTTTCAAGAAAAACAAATAGTTCTTTTGCAATAGCATCTAATATTGAGTAAATATTTTCTGTTTGTTGCATGGTTGATAGACTTATTACTTATTTGTTGAAAAAATGAAGAGCTTTTTCATCTTGGATGAGAAAATTTCATTTTTGGTAACAAACTTAGTCCCCACATTTGCCCCCCTGATTTCACATCAAAGGTAAGCAATTTTTATTTAAAGTTTGTTTTTCTTTTTCTTTTTTTACAATGTTCACTCTGTACAAGGTCTGATGGTTACAGAGTAAGAAGCACAGCTGCAAACAAATACATGATCATTACATCAGTTTACAGATATTTTCAGTGTGTTTTGTTAAAACTGACCAAAAATACAATGTGAAAAGAACAGTGAATCAAGACCTTTCTAAACTCTGTTGGCAAAGGAAAAGTGAGAATTATACTGGACATTTCTTGCACCACTTGTAAAGATCTTTCAAAAAGTTAAGTGAAATGATTTTATCAAACAAGTTTTGTAAATTAGTTTGTGCATAATATGAGAGAGACAAAAATATAAAGCAGACTCATTGGTCATCTTTCTAGTATTGGGTTGAACCTCTTTTTGCCCCTTTAGAACCATCTCAATTCTTCTTGGCAGGAATTCAATGATGGAAGCACTGTGAAATATGGGTCCATGTTATGTCATCACACAATTCTAGATTGGTTGGCAGCACAACCATGATTGAAATCTCTCTTTCCACCACATTCCAAAGGTGCTCTATGGGATTTTGAGATCCAGTAACTGGAGGCTACTTTAATACTGAAAGCTCCTTGCTGGGTTTCATGAACCAACTTGTTACTATTTTTGATTTGTATCAGTGTGCTGTCTTGCTAGAAGTGACCAGCAAGATGGGTGCAGCGTGGTCATAAATATAGGCACATGGTCAGCCACAATACCAAGGTTAAGTAGGCTGTGGAATTTAAAAGATCTTTCATTGATATCAAGAGTCCCAATGTATGCCTAGAAAATAGTTCCCATACCTTTGCACCGTTACCACCAGCCTGAACTGTTAATACAAAGCAGGTTGGAGTGATACTTATATATATTAAAGGCAAAAACACTTAAAATTTCATGTGGTTATATTTATTTCTTTAGGGTCATAAAAACTGCCCCAATTTATCAGACCTTCAAATCCAAAAGCAAAAGGTCTGATGAATTGGGGACATTTTTACAACCTTAAAGAAATAAATATAACCTCATAAGATTTTAAGTGTTCGTGCCTTTTATAATAATAATTATTATTGTTCTGTCTCTGACATAGAGCTCTCCCTGGATTTATATCCTTTTGAAATATATATATATATATATATATATATATATTTTTTTTTTTTTTTTTTTTTTTTTTTTTTTAAACAAATTCTGGCTTTACCATCCAAATCAAGACTAATCAGAACAGGTGACATTTTTTCCAATCTTCTATATTATAATGTTTGTGATTCATAGCAAATTGTAGCCTCATAATTCATCAGGTTGCCGAGTACATGCTTAAATGCTTATATCCATTAAATCACTGTCATGTCATTGCCTGATTATGACAAGATCAAATTTTGTTTGTTACATTCACTAATAGCCTTGGGAAAGGTATGAATCCATCTCTTTTCACCACCCAGCTATTGGTTAAATAGGACTTGTATCTGGAAAACATCATTGTTATGCCCCTCAAAAAAAAACATTGTTAGTGCAATATTCACTAGCAAAATGATTATTCTTACAATCCAATGTGATTTTCTTCAAGACACCTCTTGGAGGGAAATTCTTATAAACTTCATTTGAGAATTGTACCTGTGAGGTTTCTTCTTGGGTCAAAGCTGACAATTGATACTTTTGTACCTTCTCAGAAATACCAGGTGAAATCATAATTTCCATGGTTCACACCGGACTGTTCAGCTGCTATAACTCACAGGAATCATTTTTTTCTGGCTATACAACTGTGGCAGTTCTTATCACAACAGACATCTATTTGTGGTTGCATATAATAAATGTAAATGTATCCTCAAGTGAGCTAAGTCTTTGTTTGCTGATAGAATGAGGCACCATTTTGCGTTTAACAAATTTGGCTCTTGTGACTACTGCCAGCTCTGTAATAAGAGTAAATTTTCAATTCTTCTCTTCACTCAATTTGAGGTGTTAGCATCTGCTGATAAAATGAAATGATTTGACTCTAAATTCTCTTCAAACTCCAACCAGAACTCATCTGGAGAACCCTTACCTGAACTGGTTCTTGTTCTCTCTAAACTGTACAATAAGTGTCTCACTACCTCTTGCTTTCTTCTGTTATTCTAGTTTTTAAGAACTCAGATGAACAATCTGACATAACTATAGGTCTTCTACCTCTTTTTGGCAAACTACTAGAGGCCTTAATCAATTCTGAATTAAGCATCTCACATCACAGGGTCTTCTTTCAGACAAGCAATATGGATTTCACTTCTTTAGGTAAACTGCTGATTATTGCTGAAAGGTCTATCAAGCTTTAGATAAGAATGGTGAAGCTTGGGCTGTTACTTTGGAGATCTTGAAAGTGTTTGACAGGGTTTGGCATACTGATCTTCATATGTTGAAAGTTTATGGTATTTCCAGACAAATTTTTGAACTGATTCAGTCTTTCTTATCAAATTGCAAAATGAGTTGTTCTGGATGGTCACTTTTCTAAATCTCTTTGTACTAATGTGGGTGTCCATCAGGGCTGTATTCTTGAACCTAATTTCTTAATTAATGACCTTCCAGGTGATATCCATTCTTATCTTAGTATCTATTCTGATGACACAACAATTTACTCCTGTCTCAAGTAAGTCTGATCAGTTCCATAAGGTCAAATTGGCAGTTGATCTATAAAATAACCTACAGTCTGTTGTAAACTGGGGCAATGGTTGGCATGTTAACTTTAATGCCTCCAAAATGAAACTTCTTTCTATTAATCTTCTGAGAGACACATTTCTTCCTCCCATCTAACATCCAGGAGAGTGACTCGTTGCACCTTCTTGAGCTAACATTCCTAGCTGACATAAAGTGGAAAGATTATATTGAATCCATTGCTAAGTCTGCTACGAAGAAAGTTGGTTCAATGTGTTGTGCTAGACAATTTTTCTCTCTTTGAATCTTAGATATCTATAAGTCTACCATTTGTCCATGCTTTGATTATTGCTGCCATTTATGGTCTGGTGCTCCTGTTGTATATGTCAGCAATATGACCTTTCATGGTAATTGTTCAGATGAACTCTTTGCAATAGTACCTAGACTTTATGAAATTAAGTGTGGTACTAGATTGGCAGCAAGGTCTCAGCATTTCAGAATGGAATTGATTAGATGTAACAATAAGTTCTATGCTAACAGTTTCTTTTCATACACTTCTCATTTGTGGAACTTTCTTCTGGCTACATGTTTTCCACTCAACTTTAACCTACAAAAATTTAAATGCAGTGTCAATTGTTGTCTTCTTGATTACTCTTCTATTCTTTCTTTTTAAAAATGTTTCACTTTTTTCTTATTCTTTCACACTTAGTAACCCCTTGTGTTTTAGTGGCTTTACTGCCTTGCATGAGATGAAATGATTAAAAAATGTTTTAGCTCTAAATAATACACACAGGTTTAATAGGCCATAAAAAAATAAATAAAATCGATCAATCAGTTGCTTAGAAATTTGCACAAAAGAGCATTTGTTCATGTCTACTGAATTAAGTGGCCAGTATATATGATGCACATTTCTAAATGTGATGCTTTATATACATCAAAGGAAAAGCTCAACTTTAAGGTTAATTATATTTTGTACTATAGCTTTTGTGCATTTTTTTTCACTTCTGTAAGAGTGCTGAAAAGTTCTCAGCCTGACCCAGAAGTTCTTTAAAAAAATATAATGTTTGGTTAGATTTTGGGAATTGGTTCATACTAAGAACTTTGCAGCAACCCTCTGTAGTAGAATGTTAGATGGATGCATAGTAAAAAATATAAATTTTAATCATGGCTGCCATTCTTTTAAGGACATAGTGAGCTTACCAATAACTACCTTGAACAACTGCAACTCATAACTTCAGCATTGTCAGTTAAGAGAATAATAATAAGAAAACCTCATTTCTGTGGAAGAATTTGTGTACATACAGAGATAAAAAGGAAATTTTTTCCATTTTTAGATTATTCAACATTCAATTCATTTATTTACATATTTAAAATGTTACAATATTTATGCATCAAATAAATTAAATATGACAGATTACTCTTGGACCTATCACAATATTTTTTTCTTTTTAAAACTTCTGAGAAAACCAGAATTCAATAATGACATAAGACTTTAGAATGTACTTCAGAAAAGTTTGCTTCATAAAATATCAAAATTTTGTGTTAAATTGAATTGATTTCTAATTAAAAAAATTAAGCTTTTATTATTGTTTTTTTTTATATATATATTTTAAATATTATCAAAGTTAATATTAATTTAAATTCAGAACAAAGAAATTTTAGAAATATGATATATGAAATCAAGTGTCATTAAAAATTAACTTTCATGCCCTGTTGATTAAAATAAGATAACTTAGGTCAGTGCTACTCAAAGTGTGGTATGCATACCAACACTGATATGTCAGCCATAGTCTGCTGGTACATGGAGAGTTTCTAGGAAACAAAGAAACAAAAGTCACATTCCATGCCATGGGAGACTGCTGAGATATCTGACTCAGGTTTTTGGGTTTTTTTTTTTTTTTTAACATTTTCATTTCAGTTTTATGTTTATTATGGATACATTTTTCAATTAATCACTCATATTAAAAGTCATTGCTACACAACTAATGAATACAATATAATGAATAGCAAAATGGTGAACTGAATGACAATACTATCATGATTATGTGGCATGTGACTGCGTGAGAACCACACCTAGGAATACCAAAGGGCCATTTTCATGGGCATATATTTCTAAAAAAATCAATATAAAAAAATGATGCAACTCTTATTTTTCTGGTATAAATGAATGATACAAAGAATATGCAAATTATATTTTCTCTGGTCATTATTATATAATTATAAGGTACCAGTCCCTGGCACATTGGGGGAAGTCTTGTTATGTCAATGAGGATTGGCCTTAGAATGAATAAGATATCATGTTCTCATGTTTAGTACGGATTGATGGTCTCAAAATGACCCTAAAATAGGACATATCTAAAAAAATAATCTCCAGCTGGATTGGAAAGCTTCACTCACTGGTCCCTTGAATATTGAGAAAAAAATTACCCAAAAAAACCTGCCTATACACCAAATGAGAAGATTGATAAGCACTAATTAGATTATCTTATTACTTATTCAGTTATTTATTTTTGCATTATTATTGGCATTTTTGTGTAGTTGTATAATATCTTCAGGTTGTCTTGGCCATCTTCAGCCTCATAGTTCTATATTTGCTACATGCCTTTAGAGCAAATCCACCTTTTCCATTGTCTGTTTACTTTTATCTCAGTATGAAATTTTCAAATAAAATTTATAGACACTTGATTGTTAGTAAATTTTATGTTTAAAAAAGTTAAGTCCACTCAGTTGTAATACAATGTGTATGAGTATAGATTATTAATGTTTAAAAGTTATGAATTTGGAATAACATAATAATAAAAAAAAAAGTCACTTTTGGATATATTTTTGATATAATACAATATTTCAAGTAGCAATTTCTGTTAGTTTGGTATTTTTTTCTTCAGTACATTAGTCCTTGTAGATAAATGTGCATAAATATATCCAAGTTACAAATTCTAAGCAATATTTAGAAGTGGAAGTGTTGCTTTTGGTGGTGTTTTCTTTTTTTTTTTTTTTTTACATTTGACTCTCAAATCCTTTTGTGATTTGACTCAGCTTTTTCTTCTACATGGTAAGTTTTCTTTCTGAAAGAGGAAAATAAAATTAAATGAGCATTACACACATCTATAAAAAATCTCAATTAAATAACAATTTTACTTTCAAGTGATGGTTATTTTATATCTCACTTGAAACAACTTTGAAAACAAATTTTATTTTAAAAACAAAACAAAAAATGGTGGATTTCATACTCAAGTGATAAAGCAGAATGTTTTGGCCATAAATTCTCTTCAATTCTAATCTTGACTCCTCTGGAGGATCTCTGCCTGACTGAGTCTCTATTGAGTAATATGCATATAACTTCATCCATAATCTCTGCTATTATCTCTAAATTGGATTCCTCACAAAGCATGTTTGACTTGATGGTATCTTTGCAATAGTCCTTAAGAAACATGCTCCTGAACTGGCTCCTGTTCTTTCTAAACTCTACAATAAATGCCTTGCTGCTCTCTTCCTTTCCTGCTTGTTGGAAATCCTCTTTTGTAGTTCCAGTCTTTAAGAACACAGGCAAACTGTCTGATCCTTCTATTAGCCTTCTATCCCCTTTTTGGAAAAGTACTAGAGACTAGTGAAAAGAGTATATTGAATCAATTGCTAAGTCTGCAGCCAAGAAAGTTGGTTCGATATATTGTGCTAGATAATTTTTCTTGCCCGAATCTATCTTACATTTTTGCTTTGAATATTGCTGCCATATCTGATCTGGTGCTCTTGCTATATATTTAAAGATTCTTGATGAAAATCCAAAGAAGAATCCTGGCTTCTTGCTTCCCAATCAACTTTTATCTTTAAAAATTTTAAATGCAATGTCAATCATTATCTTATGTCTTCTTAATTTACTTTCTTTTATTCTCTCTTTATAATAGTATTTTTTCTCATTCTCTAACACTCATTTACCCCCATGTGTACTTGAATTAGTGGAAACAGGCAAGCAATAACTGAGCTGTACTAAAATTTAGAACGAGATAAGATTTCATTAGACATGGCCAGTCAAATGAGAATAAATAAAGGGTTCAGTTCTGAATTCCCTGTAAGTTACTTAAATCAATATACACATGAGGAAGACCAGAGGGCATAATGGCTGCAACATTGTAATAGCAACAACAAAATGAGGACAATAGTCTAAATAATGATAACACTTTATCCCAGGATTTATTTTTCATCATTAGCCCAAAATGCAAATGCAAGAATCATCTTAAGAAAAGACTGAAAGAACCACCAAACTTAGGAAATAAAAGAATCATAACATATACAATGAAGAAATATCACAAAATGCTCTGAAGCTCAAAGAATATCTACCATTTATTATGCAAAAAAAACTAGAGCACAAAAATTGGGTGGAATTGATCTCTGGTAGCAGTTCTCTACCCCCATTATCAACAACAACAACAGTAACAAACTTATTTCTGTATTTCCATATACATACAAAATTTGACAGTATATGTAAAATTTATATGTAAATATTCAACAGTTTATTCTAAACTAAAATATAACAATTTAAGAAATATAGGTGAGAGCCACTCCAAACAGCAAATAAACAAACATGTCATAGTTTATTCATAACTATTAGATGTGTATATGTTCATACATGTATTTTAAATACATAAAAATCCATTAATATTTTAGACATCTTTTTAAAGTGAAACACATAATTAGACACACATATATACAAAATTGAGTAACTTAGCAATGTTACCTTTTTCCAAACAAAGATTCCAGAAACTACAAGTATGCTGAAAGTTGTGACAATACACAAAATAACAAACACAGTGTACACATTATCAGTTTTCCTGTAAAAAAAGAAGAAAAAAAATCTGAAACAGTTTTGAATTAATTTTCTGATAATACAGCACAGCATCTTTTTTGGAAATGATACAATATTTATATCAGTTATTTAAAATTAAGAAATCAGGAAAAAAGACATCTAAAATCAAATGGTTTCTTGCATAAGGAGAGAAGATAGTCATATTTCTTTCTCCTTATTTTCTATGTGGGAGAATCAACTAGCAATTACTATGGATTAAGGAATGCAGCTAAGCTGACCCAGAACATAAAACAAACTATTAGGGCCACATTAAGACCAGCAGAATCCTCACAGGATTCAGGACAATTGGGGATAAAACTTTAGTCATGAAAGTAAACAGAAAGCATTACAAATCAACAAATAAAGAGCTATGTTTAATTAATTTTCATACCCACAAAAAATGGTTTGTCAAAAAGACAGCTTTTCCCTTGATACTGCTATTATTTTGCACTATCTTCACCTCCCTCAGTAATGTTTATTTACAAGATTTATAAAAATATGTGAGCCAAGTGCAATGTGATATTCATTATTTATCATTTTATAAAGAAATTAATGAGAAAAGAAATTTATTAATTAGAAACTTAGCCAGATTGTATTGCTTGATTGTTGGGTGTAATTCAGTTAGTGGGCAGTTAACTTCTAACAGATATAGAGAGCTGCATGGACATATCTAGCCGTTGAATATTTTGAGAACTGGTTGTATAGCCATAGAGGGGACCTTGTTGCACATGTGTGAATAGATAATTTTCTATGGCATTGAATGAGCTTGTCTACTGTGTGAGCATCACAATGATTAAGCAAGTAGATTCATCATATCTTGTTCAGCAAAATATTGCATTATCCTGTCAGTACCACTACAGTTCTGATTTGGCATGTAGCAGCTTCTGACTTTTCTGTTGTTCCTCCTCAATTGTTTCTTAAATGTTGCTATGAGGGATGCTGTATTATTACAATTAATTAATAATAAATAAATAAAAATAAATTAGATAAATACAGTTAAAGTAAAATGATTATTCTAAAAGATTTTATCTATTGTGTTTAAATCTTTAAAAAACAAGAAAAAAGTGTGAATTTGACAAATGTAATGAAAACTTTCTTTTATTCTATTTTTCTTTACAAATTATGGTTCAACCTAAGAATTTCATGCTGCATAACAAAGTTTGATCATTGATTACAATGCAGTGTGTGTGTGTCCATGCACACATTTGCTATACATAAAATTTGAAAATTGAAGGCTGACACTTCCTCAGAAACAAAATCATCAGCAATATAAAATAGAGATGCTGATAAGAAAAATTATTACCAACAACTGGTATTAAAAAATAAATTACCCAATAGTTATATAAGGGGGGAAAGAAATCATTACTAAATATGTTTCCAGTCAGGCACTAGTTTCCCTGAAGAGGGCCAACCTATATTTCATCTCCCGTTGTCTACACAGAGCAGAATGTTGCATATTAATGATAATAGACTCCAAGATGTCTAAGTGGAGTCTCGTCCTAGCCCTGTAAGTAAAGCCCAGAAAAAGTGGGTTTACAATAAACACTGGTAAGAAAACCTACAGGTGTTCTCTCCACCAATACATCCAAGAAAGGAAGCTGATCCTTTTTCTTTTTTTTTTATGATCCTTTTTTTTTAAAGTTATCTTGTCTTGGTGTGGCAGTAAGAAAAATCTGTTCATATATATATATATATATATATATATATATATGATGATGGCCTCTCCCGTTGTTTTTGACATATCAGTGTCTTTCAGTTCAGTTTTTATGCTTATGTTTCATATGAGACAACAATCCTGCACAGGATTTGGAAACAAATCTGCATGAAAGGCATACTGAAGGGTTGACCGTCATATGGGCTGATGTATTAACCTGAGATTTAGTATTTTTAATTCTCTCAGATGGTTGAGATGATTCTTTTCAAAGTTAGTTATATCTCAGTAGCAGGTGTTTTTCCAGTTTGCTCGGTTTTCAACAGCAAGTTCAAACTCTTCTATAGGAATAATTGCAGCAATTGTATTTAAGTTTGTCCTTGAAGTGTAACCAAGAACAGCCTACATTACACTTACCATGAAAAAGTTTGCTATACATGAGGATTTTCGGCATCTGATCATCACTCATTCTGATGACATGATCAGCCCACTTGAACTATGATTACATCAAAAAGGATTCAATACTACCAATGCCACATTTGATGAAAAGATCAGGGTTAGAGATTTTGTCCCACTGTGTATAACCACATATTGAGTGAATAGAGCGTTTATGAAAAGTATCCAGTTGATTGATATGCGTCCTGTATGGCATCCAACATGATTTTCGCTTCTGCATCTCGTATACATGAGTTAGTCGTTGCTTTGAAATTTTTCATGCAACAAAAACAGTGTTCCATGTATTGGTTGATATATTGAAAAGTAATTGTCATCTTTGATAATGGCTTATGTAAGCCAAAAGCTTAGATTGGATTTAAACATGTATCAATATGGTGATTTCCTTTCATCCTTCAATGATAATGTTATTAAGCTTATCAGACAATATGAAAGGAACTTACTTAAAATAAATAGACAAAACTTGTCTATATTATTTAATGAAACATGCCTCAATGAAAAATTATATATATAAATATACATATAATATATATATATATATATATATATATATATATATATATATATATGAAGAAAAATTTGGAAAAAAAAAACAAAAATCCTTAAATGCAATTATGTTGTTTAAAATGAATGAAATGTCGACGTCTGACGTTTTTAATTAATAAACCTTTTTCAAGACAATATTCAAGAATTCTATTAGGATCTAAAATTTTTATGTGTATTCTTTTCATTTTCTTTTTCATTCAAAATAATCAAAAATTTTTAGAATACATTTTGAAAGCGTCGCCCATGTGACGACAACGTGACCATGCTAAACGGAAAGCTGATCATTTTAAAAATTTTCAGTTATCTGTTTTGGATAAGACTTGTTTTTATGTCCATCGTCTTTGTCAAATTGAACTGAATTGTATTTTAATGAATATTGTCTTGAAAAAGGTTTATTAAACCGAAACGTCAGACGTCGACATTTCATTCATTTTAAAAAAAATATAATTGCATTTAAGGATTTTTGTTTGTTTTTTCCAAATTTTTCTTCATTCTGTCAGATCTATATCCATTTACATTTGCTTACATATATATATATATATATATATATATATATATATGATAAAATGCATCCTTAAGTTTTTTTATATTTATGAGTAAAAGTGCTCAATAGCCAGGATAGAGCATGTGTAAACATATAAGAGTGGTCACAGAGGTCAACGCCAAATAGCAACAGCCTGATTCATGCTTGAATGAAATCTTCATGCCATTTGCATTCAAGCATGAAAAAGATTGATGTTGACCTCATATGTACACTCATATATCAAATGTTATTTACACATTCACTTTCTAGGCAATTAAATACACCTATGAACACCTTTAGTCAGTTTAGATATCAAATTTTATATACATATAAAATTTTGTTTGCTAAAATGAAAACTTACACATAACATACTGTACAAGAATCCTCAGTATCACATGTTGATGTTAAAGATGCAAGTTCATTCCACTTTTTAATTTCCCACGTGGTACTATCAAAAGTTGCAAGCTAAAATACAAGAAAATTTTAGGGTAAATCATGCTGCATCATGATAGGGTAATAGATTTTAGTATAAAGAAGTTATTTAATGACTTGCATAAACAAAAGTCAGTCTTCTTTGTCTACTAATTTTTATAATTTTATGTTTGTCTTTTATTATTGTTGTTTTTTTTTCATTTTGACCAGTCCTATTCAGAGTCTTGTTATGAAAAAAAGGGCATTTATAATCTGCTCTGTGGGTCAGTTTATAATTATTTTATCTCAAAATTTATAAAGTTTCATGTAAACAATTGCCTCATATTTACAAAATTGCTAATATCTCCTTAAATGTTAATGAAAAACTAAAATTAGATGAAAGATTTTTTTTCTTGAAAAATGGTTGAAGTGGATCCTATTTAGTCAAATTGCATATCTACATTTGACTAGTGATTTCTACAAGAATGGTTTAAGAAATGTTATGTTTTTTGCTATTATAAGTGTTGGACAATGATATTTGCAGCAAAAGAACTAAAATCTGTTATAAATAAATTTATCCCTTAAATTAGGGGAGATTGCATCACAACAAAGCCTCATATTTTATTATTAAATTTGTGATTTTCTTCCTAGATAAATGTTAATTATAGTAGATAGTTCTTTACAAACATGATATAATTCAGTTATATTCTTCAGTTATGTGCCATGCATGATACACGCTTAGGCAATCTTATGATACATGACTAACAAGGCAGTAGGTTGCCATTTCTTTTTGTGGTAGACCAGTTATCATTCAAGGCTATAGAACCCAGTCTATCCTGCCATTTACCCATAGCTGTGGAGGGGAGAAGAAGAGGATTCATTCCTTTCCCAAGGGTATTATTAGCACATAAGTGAATGTAATGGATTTGACTGGAATTAGATTCCTCAATCTGAGCTGCTATCCATTACTCCACCATGCCTATAGTATAAAAATAGTGTTTCAAAAGAAAGCACTATGAAAAAAAACACTGAAAATTTGAAAACAGGATAAAAATTTGCTATCTTTGATCTCATGAAAAGCTCAAGGAAAAAATCTTGATTTTGGTTGAAGTTTTTAATTTAGATTTTTCTTATCTTTAATTTAGTCAATATTGTTTACTGACATTACAATTATTGATTTTAGAAAAGACAAAACTTTTGACTGATATTTCTTTAAATAATATATAAAAGCATAAAATATATAAATTTAGACCTTGACCATAACAACTTTGTTATCCTGTAAAGAAAATTTGATGGAAATTTATAGAAAATAATGTGTACTAACTTAAATAATAGAAATAATAATACAAAATAGATTAAAATAGAAATTTAAGAAAATAATATAACAATAGGGACAACTAAAGTTGCATAACAAGTTTTGTTGGGAAGGGAAAATTATTCTGAAACAATTCTGGTGAAAGAGTTGGAAACATTGCTGATTGATTGATTGGTCATTTCTGAATAATGTATTTATATGGTGGATTCTTTGCCTTGGATAAGTTGAGGATATCTAGTCTTATCTTGATCCTTAATAAAAGAACACAACCATTTAAATGGAAGCCATCTTAGAGAGAGAGAGAGAGAGGACAACAACATTTATAACATTTATAACAATATAGAGTAGGTATTTTGTTCCAATAAATCATTTGTAAATCTCTTATTGTCATCTCACAAGAACAAAACTCTAAACATAACATTTTACACAAAGTGGCAAGATCAATGAATTTATGTCATTTATAACAAAGTTCAAACAAACAACACACCAGATGATCATACATAAATAGTATCAGTTTGTTTTACAGGCAAGTTCAATTATTACCCAGATCCTGATTTTTGCAGATTTGTATGGAGTTAGCAAGTTAATCTGACAGTGCAGTGACATTAATCCTAACTTGTATGCCAGATTAAGTCAATCAAAGTAAATATTGTGAGAAACATCACATTGGTTTCACTTTGTACTTTTATTAGCTATTAATAGAAAATAAATAATAAAGTTACCTTTTCAAATTTAGGGGGATCTATATTTTCAATCCTCAACAAACTGTAATTTTGAATCCGACTGTTTCCATCATCATCAAAAATTCTCTGTTTTTTACCTGAAATATTAAACTCAGTCTTGCGGATTGCTTCAGAAATCTCTTGTGCCCTATTATTATTTAAGTTTGGTGACTGATTCAATACCTGGGCAGTTCCATTAATCAAAGCATATATAGCTTTAATCAGAAAATCATGATATGATGATACTGAACGTCTCTGGAGTTTATACTCACAACTTTTTTTAAAGTGTGTATTAAAACTTCCTTCAAATCGGCACTCATTTTTTTTTTCAATGAATTCCTTTGCCCAAGGGTTTTTTTCTATGTCTGACTTTGTCAGGCTTGTATAGTAGTCCAGAAATTCTGTGTTATTTGGTTTGTTGAATTCAACAATAAGTAGGTTTTTTAAATGATTTTTCAGTATCTTTTTAACACCAAGATCACCTATGCCATAGGCATCAATAAAAAAGAATTCATTGTCTTCAAGGTCTTCATTTAAAACAGAAAACAATTCACGTTGGCTTTGTTGAAGCAGGAAATAAACTAAAACCTTCACTGTGCTAGTGTCCCGAAGTTGGTTTAAATATGTCTGGAATTTCTGTTCTCCAAGTTCCACTTTAATATCATTTACAATACAGATATCATGAATTTTGGCATATCTTGCAAGTGCTAATGCTGAAGAAATGCCAAAGGCTTCATTGTTGTACATTATATTAATAGTTTTCCATCCCATCCTTTTGCATAGAAGGATTATTGCTTTGCACTTGTCTTCTGTGGAAATTATGGTTCTCTGGAAATATGGAAATCTCACTCTGTCTGCCAACAGATGACTTTCAGCTCCATAACTAATTTGTGGTATATGCAGACGGGTCAAAACTTCAGCAGCAGGTATTGTGGTCAAACTAAAAAAATCTCCAACTACTCCAAGAACATTGGTATAATTAATACTAATGAGTTGTTCTGTGGTTACTAAAGGTTGTAAACAGGTATCCAAAATAATCAAACCTAAATCTGGATTGATTGAGGTTTTAACAGCAAATTTGGCAGCTTCTACTATATCTACACTTTCCAACAAGCGAAGAGTCTGACTGCATATGAAATGGTTTTTGTTATCATTCAGATGGAGTGGGACCATGACTACTATATAAGGTGTTCCTTTTTTTATAATGTACAAATTTGGTGTGATATCTAACATGCGGCATTTTTCACATTTCTTTACGCAAAATGAATTTTGTGTTTTGATTTTGGAGTTTAAGTTCAGTTCATTTCCATAGCTTCCCACCTGAAAACAGAAAAAAATTAAATTAAAATTTTTGATTAATCTTAAATATTATTGGAAGGAATTGCATTTTATTGCTTCACATTTTATTTAACATTTTGTGGTCTTAACGGAGGTTTATATTTTAGGTCAATTGTCACTAGGTTAGCTTTTTTGTGACAAGATGGATACTGAATTACTGATTTTGCTATATTATATATCAATTTAGTAAGCTCAATAGATGATGACTTCAGGCCTTACTACTTTTCAATATTTCTTCTTTCTAAATAAATAAACAGCAAATTCTGTCTGTCCATCTGTGTCTCTGAAACTCCTCCAACTGGTCCACATTTGTTCTACATAGACATATTATACCCTTTTTGGAATCAGGGTGGTCTCAGGATTGAAAATTTGCCTTTCATCTGGTGCTTGAACTTCCAGTATTGGGATTTGTGTCCAGATGAGGAGGGAACAGTTAAAAATTCTAAAATTTAAAAATAACTGAAAAAAATTAGTGATTTAAAAAAAAAATTGATTTTAATTCAGTTTAAAATATCTCTAAAACTGTGAATTGAAGAAATCAATTTTATTTCTTGAAAATGCCAAGGAATCAAAGTTAAAATGAGAGGTTTCGTGACATGAGGTTTTGAAGTTCCACAGAGATTGTGATTTGAAGAATTCACCTCAATTTTAAATTCCATGGATTTTGAGATTTGAAGAACTCAGTTTTTGACTTGAATTGGAATTTTGGCCCAAATCAGTCTTTTGGCTGGAATTGAACTCATAGCCTGAATCAGGGTTAAAGTGAGGTTTTGAAGTTCCATGGAGTGAATTGAGAAATTCAAAGTTATTTCTTCAAAATTATCATTGCTGTTTTCTAAGCTAGAAAACCAATTAGCCTTCCACAGGAACTAGCTTAAAAGTCTGCACGGAGATAGTGATAGGTCTCCATAACATCTTTTAACATCTATAAATTGCATTGCTATAATTGTTATTGGGAAAGATAGTGGAGTAGTTTCCCATTGTCTTCTCTACAATTCTGGGCTCAGAGTAGTCCTTTTAGACTGGTTTTCTTGGGTGACACACTTTTTGTGAACAAAAAGCTTTTTCAACCAGAACTTGAACTTGGCTCACAGATTCTATTTACTGTATTAGTAACCACTATACCTCTTAATGTTGCTACTAGTGCTACTAAAACTGTAACTGAAATACCTCTTAATGTTGCTACTAGTGTTACTAAAAATGTAACTGAAATTCAGTCGGTCAACCTGAGAAACTTGAAATTATACAAAATGGAATGATGGCAATATCACATTTATGGCAACAGTGTTATATTAAATTTCAAGTGATTTTTATCTTAACTATGGTAGAATTTTTCAGTTAAAAGGGAAAATAATTTCTAATTAATTCTTCTATCTTAATAAGATATTTTGAGTCTTGATAGGTACACAACAACTCTACTAAATGGGTGTGGCAGTGACAGAGTGAGCAAGAATGTTAAATGCAGAGAAATAACTACCTAACCAATATTAAAAATCATCCAACACTCATATATCCATTTATATATAGTATGTTGTTATAAATGAATGATGCATTGTGAAGAGGGTAGGGGAGCTAGGACAAGAACCTGGTAGATAGCATGATACTGTCTGTTGACCAAATGTGCTGAGTCAAAATCTAAGTTTAGCTGAGAAGTCTGTAAATATAAATGTTAATATTTCAAAAATAGAACTAATTGACCCAGAAGAGATCAGTCATTAAAATAAGTGTTACAGAAATCAGATCCCTGGAGGTTAGCAAGTTCAATAAAAACTGAATTATGCTTATTAGAATTTCTAGTGGGTTTTAGTGATTTGTTTTTTATGACCTAGAACAGGAATTACTTTGTGACCACACAAAGCAGTTTATCACTTGAAAAGCCCTGGTTGGTTTAGTGAAAATATCCCTGGTTCAATGACAGGTGGTTTGTCAAATATAATTATAGCTTCTCAGGGTTCTACAAGCCACTGCAATTCTTGGCTCGAGGACCAGCTGGAGCTTGAAACTGTGATTTCTTCCTATACTGAAAAAGTTTAAACAACTTTCTTGCCTTTTACTTTGTTGTGGGTTGATTCAAGTCCACAACATGAGCAATGGGTGACTGGTTTTGTCAAACTTTTTATGTAACATTCCTTTTATAGAACCAAATTTATAAACTAATATCAATAACAATCCAATAGGAATTAAGAGATGTATACAAAATATTAGATTTACTTGATGAGGTAAAAGTAGGATATAAAATCCTATATTTTACAACCAATAGGTGAAGCACAAATAAGTAAGAAATGCCCACACAAAAACAGGATCAGAATTGCTAAAACAAAAACTTTTGTACAAATCAGTAAAGAAATAGGATCCAAAATTAAATAAGTAGTTTCTGCTATGATTCCAACTATGTCCATACATTTGAACACCAAGTGAACTGGTCACCAGGTGCTATCCCACATAAACTGAAAAGCATTCATTTGGAGCCAATCACATGATCAGGAAAACTATATACACACCAATTTCAAAGGCAATAAAAACACAGAGCAAAGATCTAGCCAGCAACTGGACATGCTGATGACAAACAGTTGAATCTCTAAACACCCGACCAGAATTCTCTTGTTACCATGACAACACCTCAGTCAGCAATGACTACACACTATTCAAAAGAATATTCACACAACTCAAAGAAATATTCATAGCCGTGGAAAAAAGTAAGTCTGATCATCTGTATGTTCATTTCCTTTTGGAACCACCGTAATCAGATTTCAAATATTAGCACTCACACACATACATTTCTACTAATGTATTTCACCCACACACATATTCAGTCAGCAGCCATGCATGCACTCCATTAAAATGTGCTTCAGACACACACACACACATATATATATATATACACTTTATATTGACCAAGGCATATGACTTTATGAACTACCCTTTAACAAATGGAAAATTTTGTTGAACATTTGAATTTTTTTTTTATGACCAGAACAAACACAATGTTTACCATGTAAAAACAAATGTTAATGTTTACATAAACATACGATTATTTCAATCAGGTTTTCCTTTTTGCCTATGTAAAAAAAAATCATTTCTTCGTGTTATGTTGTATTTGTGGGGATGACACTCAGATTTTAATTTTTCACTTTTAATCCAGGTAAACTGACCCTACAAGTTCAATATCCAGTATGACTTTAAAACCTGATGTGGTGAATACACTTTGAATATAGATTGAGAGTGATGAATCCAATGCAATTAATAGAAGAATGAATAGTAAATTAATGCTAAGAAACAGATCATCAGAATAAATATTTTACTTTCATTAGAAGTTTGAAAATACTTGCATTATACTTCTTTAGATCTGTTCCTATTTGTTGGTTAAATTTTTAAAAAAATGTTTTTCAGTATTATAAAAAAAAGCTTAAAAAATGTGCCAAAGTTGCTAAGTATTGAACAAAATGAGATGCCATTATTTTAATCACATTTGACACTGAATAAACATATAATCAATAATATTTACTAAATTTATGTAAGAGAAAATACAATGAAATCACTTCAGCACATTTTAAGCATACAAGAATTTTCTGATTTTGAAAGAGATCATGTTTGTTAGTCTGAAAGTAGAAAGAGCAAAACTCAGATAGTTGGATATTTCACTTTTAACTATGATCCACATAACTGTACAATTCATAAAATAAAATATACATCGCTGCATTTTGTTTATATGAATCTATGACATGAGTGATAAGATAGAAAAATGAAGAAAAATTGCTTTTGTAGCAGAATTCACTCAGGCCAGCCACAAAACGGTGGATAACAATCAGAAGAATGACATGATTTAACATTCAACAAAGAACTGTCAAAGCAAGAATTTTGTCCCAACCACTGCAGTCCACTAGCAAACATAGTGGATTTTTTGACTATGTTGTTGGTAAAATTTGGTGTGAGGAGAAAATCACTTCTGTTTCCATTCTGTAGGAAGAAATTGTATTATTTAATGAGTTATTTACAAAAAAGCAGCATTCATCACATGTAAGACTGAATTCTATGCTACACAGCAAAGTGACTAGAAAATGTCAGGCCCAAAAAAGACATTGTGATTCTCAGTCAGTTCCCTGACACAAATTTTATTGAACATATTTTGGACACTTTGTATTAAATAAAGAACATGTCTAGAAGACTTCTACAAAAGAAGACTTCTTTGTGCTTTATTAGTCACATATTCTCTTAGAGAATAGAGTAAATCTGATAAATTTGATGTTTGAAAGAATAAAAAATTTAAAATCTGCTAGTACCATTTTCCATTTAGCCTTATAAAGTATTCTGGAATTTAAATCATTTATTTTGTCATGTCACTGGAAATGCAATCTCTACTCCTGCCTTGCTAAAGGTGAGAGCAATTAAAGGTATTTAAATGATAATATTCATATTTCTTACCAGAACTTGTTTGTTCTCTATCTTCTGGTATATAAACAAAGATCTATTTATAACTTGTTGCTGTTGTAAGTCTCTACAATTAGGAAAATTCTGGCAGCTGTTGAACCATGTTAATGCCATATAAACTGAGTCATTTATATACTTAAAATGCTTGTTGTTTGCGTTGTAGTAAAGACTACTTGCGATGATCTGTATACTAAGATCTGGTAGTTCCAGTTGGGTCTTAAAAGTGCTCAAATTTTCATTACTTGCAAAAATAAAGCGAAATCCTTTTTGCTTTACATTCCTTGAAACTGATCTTACAGTATCTTCATTTCCAAAAACTAAAATGCCTATTATCTGTGCTGTCATTATTTCATTTAATATTTTTTCCTCATTTGAGCCAATCAGGTTTGCTGAGCCAATGCATATTTTGTTTTTTCTGGCTTTCTCTTCAAACAATTTTGATGATAATTTGGAAAATTCTGTAGAATCTCGCATGACGGCAATATAATTCCATTTCATCTTCAACATCAAATTGACAAGAAGCTGAAATATAAATAATTAATTTTATTTCAAATTTCAAACAAGACATAAAATAATACAATTGTTCATGTTAAACTTTTTTAAAAGAATGTCACATCCCTTCATAATATAGAAAACCATGGCTCTCTTATTTGTGAATTGCTATGCCTTCTTGGGAAATATAGTGTTAGTGGTTACCCACTACTTTATCCACAGTTTGGAATTCAGAGTTTTCCTTCTTGTAGGCTGGGCACCACCCAAAGATACAGAGCCTACTTTACCCATCTGTTTAATTGGAGAGGGAAAAGAAATGGATTCATTCTTTTCTCCAGTGTATGTAACAGACTAGGCTAGAATTTGAACTTGGCTCACTAATTCTGCTTTCCATACCAATAATTGTTACATCACCACACATCCACTAAAAACTGTAAAAATAAACAACTTGGTAAAAAATCCATGATTAACAAGAGGTTAAATAATAATTTTTGCATTTTATATTTGTATAAGTTGGGCCATGAAACAGCACTTTTTATAATTTGAGATGAATCATATAGTTATATTATTGCAAGAATTGTTTGGACAGTTTTATTGCTTTAACTGTTACAACAATGTTTTAGCTAATTCAAATTCACATGTACAATCTATATAGAAAGAGGATGTATAATGTTTAGTTAGTAGACATTATAGGAAAAGAATGAGAATAGTCCAAACATATATCAAAACAACATTTATTGTATTGAAGAAACAATACACAGAATACAAAGTTTTAACCCTTTTTTGAATGTTCTTAAGTACAGAACAATGAAAATTCAGTTTTTGTAGGTCCAGTATGTGATATCAGGAGGGAGGAACAGATGGGAAAGTGTTGAATGTTTACTTGTTGGAGACGAATAGAGACCAAGATCCCTACTTCACCCACTGAGGCAGGCAGCAGGTAGACAGGCCACAATTGGATGGTCCTGCAACCAATCCCAAACTCTCATACATATAGTGTTTGGCAGGGCCCTAAATACTACTGCAATGTATATACATTGCAGTAGGATTTAGGGCCCTGCTGATCACAGTTGCTCTGACCAGAATGTGAGGGTGTGTTAAAGTATGTGTGTGTATGTTAATTCACTACATGTTTTGCTACGCTACAAAGGCAAAACATGACTTTTTAGTGTAGAGAATCTATACATTTACCCAATATAGTACATAACTCAAGGTCATATTTTATAGTGGATCACACAAAAATAGCCTGGCTTCTTTTGACAATGTCAAAAAAATAAATAAAAATTTGCTTCACTTAGTACAATGAGAGAATTCTAGCTGGGGGTTACATCCCCAGTTACCAGATCTCTAGTTTATTTTTAGACTACATTATCTAAAGATGCCTAGCAATTTTTAACTGTTAATTGGAAATTGTGTTGACTGAAGAAGAAAATGATGGCAAATATATTAATCATACTAAAACACAAGCAAAACTCACATAGTAACAGAAATGATTCTATAATTTTATATGGGATTGTTCTCCAACCTTTTTCTTGCTAAGTGAAGAAATCTTATCCAAGTTTAAACTTTGGTATTGTCAGCCTGTTCACTGAAGTTTCAATAAATGAAATCCCATCAGTAGATAAATAAAAAATAATCTGATCACTTAGTGAAGATACTAGCATTCCAACAGACAACCAAATATTAATATTTTATGTACAAACTGCACATTTCCAACTGGGTCCTGATGTATATCAACAAAACAAAAAAAAAGAAAGAAGAATTATCTCCAGTGATAGTATTCTCTAAGATACATAAAATATTTTGAGGAAATAGCTTTAAAAATAACAATATTGAGTTCATCTCTGTGGTTCAGATGCATAGACATATACAGTTCATCATGGAGAAGGAAACAGCCTTCTTGAAGGTACAAAATGGTGTTCAGAGCCATGTAACAGGCACATTTACAAGAAAAGTAAGGAAGTGACAAAACAAATAAAGATAAAACAGGTTGAGATAAGGGAAAGAGTTTTTATTTTCCCAGGATTTGCTCATTCTGGGGTATTATATATCAGTCATGGGGCACAGAGAGTTTGTTCATGGTATAATACAAGGTAATAGTTGACATAGATGCATGGAAAAAATTAAAATGTACATGCAGTTGAGTGAGATAGACTTATGGGAGAAGTATTTCATGAATTATCATATTATAGTAGTAGAGAGTAGTTTCTACTGCTGGCACTAGTTTCATTATTGGTCAAAGGCATTGCTGTTAATAAAATTTCCATGGTGTTGCTGCTGACAGTCTGGTTAAACTTGCCTGCTATGGGGGTTTGTCACCAATGGCAGCCAGGTCGGTCCTGCCTTTGTGGGTAAAATCAGCATTCACTCTGTAGTGAGTCAGTGGTTCATTAATGGCTGCTGCAAAAAGCATGTTGGTCTTTTTTGATTGGTCAGAAAAGATGTTTTATGACCGTGAAATCTTTTCAGAGTACTCTGGAAGTGGGTGTGCAGAGCTGGACTTAATTTTTTCCAGCTTCACACCCCCACTTGATATGGGCTATGGAGATCAAAGTGAGCTTGTTCATTGCTGTTCCATCGTTAATACCAGCTTGATCAGATCTGTTCTGGGGTGAAATAAGCATTAGCTTTATTGTCAGTGGCTCATAAACAGTTGCTGCAAAAACCATGTGGGCCTTTCATGACTGATCAGAAAGGAAGATTTTATGACTCTGGGATTTTGGGATAGTATTCAAGAAGTGGGTGTGCAGAGCTGGATGAAATCATGGTCTGTTTTTGTCATATGAGCTGTGGATTGGAGTTCTGACAGTGTACAACGACCATAAGCCAAAATCTACATCCTGAATTTCTATTTCAATCAACCATATAATACAAAGTTAAAGTGGAGTCAAGTTCAAATTCTGGGCTTGTCGGCTGCATTTGCTTTTGAAAAAGACAAATTCATGTCCTCTTCTCCAAGCTAAAAGTTAAATAACAGGATAGATTGGGTTCTCTCGCATTGGGTGACAATCATCCAAAGAGAAGGAAGATAGCACAAACCATTCTACTATCATTCCCAAGAATTCATGGCAATTCAAAGATAATAAAGAAAAAATCTGTGGAGAATCATGATCCCATAAATCCTGAAAGGACATGGCATAAAAATTTTTTTAAAAATGGTGAATGTACAGTATACCATAAAGTTGTAACACAAAATATGAGGGTGAAACAAAACACCCCCTTAAAAAATGATATCAGAAAGCTTTAATATATGGAGAAACTTTGAAATCAAGAATAGTTAATCATGTACGGAAACATTCAAACATTTTCTTTACCACTTCTCAAATTGAAGAAGCCTTCAATAAATTTATCAATTCTTTTAATGATGAATTCTTAGATAAAAGAACTGACATATTGATAACAAAATGGAATAAACATAAATTTATCAAAGAGAATGATTTCAATTAAATATTTTTAAATTTATCTTGTTTAAATAAATCACCAATTTTATATTAATTTGATCAGTGATCTGTGTATTGCAGATCTTACAAGTACTCAAATCTACCATTTCATAAAGTAACTTGATTATTTGATAATATATTGGTTCTAATAATTTAGATTATTTTGTTACAATAAGTATTATGTAGGAAGGTGTTTATATTTGAGACTTACATCTGCAACTAGTGACACAGAAGGAGCAATATTATGAAGGTATTCCTTGGAGACAATCACTGGATTATATACAATATGTAGGACCCTTGCAGGAATTGTGTCCAAGAACTGGGTCACTTTATGGATGACATTTTTCTTACTAGGACCTATAATTGCTTTAAAAAGAAAGAAGAAAAATCTGTTAATGAGATATTGCTTCAATTAAAAAAATGCTTTGAAGTTGTTACAAAATACAATTAAAATAATCTATTAATAAAATCTAAATTTCAATAAACAAAGAAGATAAATATACTTTTGAAAGACGTGATTCTAATTAATTATCAGTATTTTATAATTAAAAATATCCTTTTCACTGTCACAATCAAAATTCAAAATTTAAAAGGTCAGCTTGTCAATATATAACATTACAGAAAGTTTGTAAATTTCTATTATTTAAAATATACATGAATAAATAATATAAAACATGATTAAAATTCAAGTCAAATACAGTGGACTTAATAAAATTGAGAAATCACATAATGATATTTACAATGTTTTACTGACAAAAGCTTCATAATTTGTGACCATTTAATTTTTTAAATTTAATTTTTACATTCAACATGAAATCAGAAATGCTCTTAGCAGAATTTATATAATAAATCTGCAACTGTAAAATAAGAAACAGCATCTCAGCTAAGCAAAAATAATGTTCATACTTTTACTTGACAGTTTTTTTTTTGCAGTTTCTTAGCAATTTCAATTAAAGAGGGTGGGCTGCTAGAAAATTTTAAAGTTAATTTCAGTGAAAGGATTTAGAACATCACACACACACACACAGATATATATATATATATTCAGACTCTTATTCTGAGTAGAAAAGCAAATTGTTACAGGAACAATAAAAACACTAAATACAATAAAAGATACAATATAAATAAGCAAGAATGAAGCAAGAATGGAATCAAATAGAATTTTCCTTTTGTTGTATTTTAATTTTGATGCTTAAAAATTCATTTTCCACTCGAAGTGAAAATAAAAAAGTTTCCTTATAAAAATAATATACCTGTTAAAATCAATTTATAAGTTTTCATTATTTATTTTTTGGTATTTCATGTTGGAATTATTTTCATTATTTATTTATCGGTTGGAGTCATTGAAGAGCTCTAAAATGGACATAAAAAAAGATGGAACTGTGTGCAATTTTTTATTATAAGAAAACACTTCTTAAACATTTTAAACACATTGTATTATAAGCTGAAAAGTGACAATTTTGTTTGCTATTAATCTCATAGATTGTTTTTATTATAACCAGATTCAGAATAAAGAAAATTAACATTAAGCTACAAAACAACACTGTTGGTGGGAAACACAAAAAGACAAGAGATTACAACAACTTACAGACATAACATATAGTAAAAGGATTTTAAAATTTTTTTTTTGCAAGATCATTTTCTTAATTTATCACTATGACATTTGGCAAAGAGAATGATTTCAAATATTTTTAAATTTATCTTGTTTAAATAAATCACCAAAAAAATGATGTGTCAAAAGGACTGTTTTTCCATTGACACTACTATTATTTTAATTACCTTCACTCTTTGGCAACATTTATTCTTTTAAAAAGCAATGCTTAGAATTGTAATAAAACCTAAACATATAACATAAGTGAATTTATATATTTTCTTTGGTCTTGAGAATTGACAGAAAAATAATAAATAGTATTATATTGTTTATTGGAATGGTTGGTGAAACATTGCCAATCAATTCAAACTTTATAAAATGATAAATAATAAGGATTTCCTTATAGTTGGTTCATATATTTAGTAAATGTTTAGAAATTTATGAATAAAAAATTTTCCATATTTATCTTTTTATAAAGTGGTAAATATATTAGGTTTTAGAATGTTGTAAATATAAAATTATTCTAGTAAATAAACAATCTAATAAATAAATAGTGTTTAATATTTTTATTGCAAATTCTCAAAAAGAAGTGTATAAATTCACATTCATCATAGGTTTAGGTTAAACAAAAAGATATGTGCCATTTATGGAGAAGGTGCCATAGCTGAGAGTATGTTTTGCAAGTGGTTTGCTAGTTTCAGAAGTGGAAATGAAATTTTGATCTGAAATGCCGAGAACATAGTAGGCTTGAAGTTGTGGATTATGACCAAATTGAAATACTGAATGAAAATAATTCAGGTAACATGATATAGGATATTACACAGCTTATATCTCATATGAGCATTTTAAGGTATTTGAAAAGACTTGGAATTGCTACAATGTTTAGGTGACTCATATATTTAAACAGAAAAAATTAATGAACCACATTTCCAACAAAAAAGATTCATTTTTTAAAGGAATGATCCCAAGTAATGAAAAATAAATTGTTTAAAATAATGTGGAGAAAAAATGTCCTGGAGAAAATGAAATGAGCCACAGTTAACCACTCCAAAAGGAAGTTTGAATCTGAAGAAGGTAATGCTATGTATCTGGTAGGATGAGAAATGTATTGTATATTACAAATTCCTTTTGCAAAATCAAACAAATTCAGACAGATACTATTGATAAAAAATATCCGGAATTGGCCAATCAGAAAAGTATCATCTTCTTTCAGCACAATGCCATACCTAATGTCTCTTTGTAGGTGTGTCAAAAATTGGTACCCTTGCTGTACTCACCCAACCTTGTACCAGTGAATTACCACTTTCAATCTCTAGACAAATTTCTTAATGATAAGAATTTCAATTCTCTGGGAACCTAAAAAATTCACTTAGGCTAGTTCATCACCCAGAAATATGTCAAGTTCTGGGAAGACAGAATTATGAAGCTGCCTCAAAGGTAGTAAAAACAAAATGGCATATATAAATATATGTAAAAATATCTAAATATTGTCTTTGAAATTCACTTAAAATTGTTACAAACTTTTTTCTGACCCAATATATATATACAAGATCCATATACAATTTTGAAAATGCCAACATTTTTCTTCAGGAGCCAAAAGTTCTGGGAAATTAAATTGCACTCTTAATCATCTTAAAGAACCATTTTACCTTTCATCAGCATAGCTGATGCTAACCTCCAGGAGAGTAACTAACTGTGCCTTCTCAGGGCTAACATTTTCACTAACATGAATTGGAAAGATTATATTGAATCAATTGCTAAGTCTTTTGTTAAGAAGGTTTGTTCTCTGTGTTGTGCTAGACAATTTTTCTTACTAGAATTTATCTTACACTTAACCATTCACCATACATTGAATATTCCTGCTACATCTGGTCTAATGCTTCGGTTATGTATTTAGAAATTTTGATAAAGTACAAAGAAGAATCTGCAGCGTTATCAGTCAAGACCTGGTATCTTGGCTTTCCACTTTGCCATCATGTAACATAGATTCCCTATTCCTTTTCTATAAATATTTTCATGGTAATTGTTCTGATGAGCTTTTGGTACACTTTGGTAACTTGATTTTACAAATTTAAGTGCAGTATTAGATTGGCAGCTAGGTCTCATCAATTTACAGATGAAATTGCTAGAAGCAACCATAAGTCCTATGCTAACACTTTCTTTAATGGCAAGAAGCGCACAACACTGGTGGATTCTGGATGTTCTCAGTCCCTCGTGACTAGGAACATCCGTGCAACCACTGGAGTTGGCAAGCATCGGATGTCCTAACAGTCAACGGTGAAACCATCCGCAGTAATGGTGTTGGGACTATCATGCTGGCGGTAGATAACGTGGGCCCCGTGAAAGTTGATGTTGTGGTCGTAGACAGTCCACTGTTAGGCTTCAACATGCTAACTGGAATGGATGCAATCAAAATGCTGGGTGGAGTTCGGATAGACCAGTTTGGTGGTGCTATTTTCTCAAGGACGCAGCTGTGTGCTTTTGCCACGATCAGAATAGAGGAACCAGACTTCAGCACCGAGTTTGATGAGCAAACCAGGGTTTGGACAGCATCATGGAAGTGGTCAAAGCAATCAGCCACCCGGTGGACTTATGAATAAAGTGCCTGAGTATCCCATGTCCGCTCAAATTCGTCAAGAGTACCGTCGTGAGCTGGAAACGTGGCTGAGCAATGGATGGCTGCTTCCCTATCCTGAGGAGGAACTTGGTCCCCCAAAAGGCCTGATTCCATTGATGGCTGTTTTTCAACAGAATAAGTCTAAGGTATGCCCGGTGCTGGACTTTCATGAGTCGAACGGATATGTCTGTTGAGAGTGAAGAAAGAAAGGCTCCAATGTGTCGTTGTTGGATCTCCGAACGGCCTATTTACAAGTGTGTGTACACAAATCCTTGTGGCCGTACCAGACTGTTGTCTTCGAAGAAAAAAGGTATTGCTTATTGTGCATGGGTTTCAGACTCAATGTAGCACCATCTATCATGTGAGCTATTGTTGAGGCTACACTCTCACAGGATGACGCAATCCAGCAGGCAACATCGGCATACATTGACAACATCTTTATCAATGAAGACCAGGGTGAGACAACATTTGACTAACTTTGGACTGACGAGCAAAGAACCGGAGCGGCTGCAGAACGGTGTGAGAGTGCTTGGCTTGGCAGTTCAGGAAGAAGACAACACTCTGATATGGGAATGAGGTCCTGAGTGTGCCACATATTCTTACCCACCATAGCGTGTTCTCATTTTGTGGAAAGTTGGTTGGGCACTTCCCAGTGGTGAAATGGCTTAGGGTGGCTGCAGCATTTATTAAGAGGAGAGCCATAGACATAACAAAGGGTTGGGATGACAAGGTGATTGACGTCCCTTTAACAACAATGATGGAAGAAGTCGTTGCAAGAGTGTGTCAAAAAGACCCCATGCGAGGAAAATAGTGTGTTAATAGTCCTGAGCTCGATGTTTGTGTCGACGCAAGCTCTCTAGCCACCAGAGTATCATTGGAGCACGATGGAGTTGCTGTGGAGGATGCGAGCTGGTTACAAAAGGAAAGGGATACGCAGCACATAAATTTCACAGAGCTTGATGCGATGATAAAAGGTGTAAACATGGCATTAATGTGGGAAGCGAATACACTGCATCTTCACACTGACTCTACCTGTGTATACAGATGGCTCACGGACACCCTCACAGGGAAAGCTAGGGTGCGCACCAAAGCGGCAAGTGAGATGCTAATCAAACAGTGACTGGATACACTCGCAAGCTTGGTCCAAGAATATAAACTGTCTGTGGATGTAGTCCTGGTGAAGTCGGAACATAACCGAGCAGATAGCCTAATGAGAGTACCACAGCGATGACTTGACCTAGTCAGGATGGTTGAACCTGCATGCTGTCACCAGACAAGCATGATTCTGATTGGATAAGGTCCATTCATCACCGAAGTGGCCACCCCGGAATAAGGTGAACATTGTACTTCGTTAGACAGGTCGACCCCACAGTATCTAAAGTGTTGGTTAGGGCTGTGGTGCTAAAGTGCGAGAAGTGTCAGTCGATTGACCCTCCACCAACGCGTTGGCTGAAGGGGAGATTGAACATGAGTGATACTTGGTTTCGAGTGGGAATGGATGTAACCCACTACCAAGGCTGACACTCTCTGTCCCTCATTGACTGCGGGCCCTCGCGGTTTTCAATTTGGCGTCGTCTGCGGCAACAAGATACAGCAAGCATTATCAGCCACCTGGAAGGCCTGTTCTGCGAGCGTGGAGCACCGGCTAAAATGCTTGTTGACAATGATATGGCATTTCGCAGCAAGAGCCTCAAGGACTTTCTAAGTGAGTGGGGAGTTTGATTGTGTTTTCATTGTGTGCATGGTCCCTCCGAAAATGGCATTGTGGAATGATGTCATCGAAGTGTCAAATGAATTGCAGCAAGGAAACAATGCACCATAATGAAAGCAGGCTATTGGTACAATGTCACTCCTAAGGATGATGTGTCACCGCTGACTGCCCCTGCTAACTTATTGCTATCACGTCCGACTGAAGGGTATTGATGCACCCCCGCCAGAAAGGCCCAAGCAGCAGAGTGGATACAACGTGAGTGATCGTGTCTGGATGAAGACTCCAGTTAGATAGTGCATGTCCCCTTATACATGTGGACGCGTTACAGGTGTGATAAGCCCACAAAATGTCCTTGTCGACGGGATGCCCCGCCATGTGAGGGACCTGCATCTCGTTATGGGCTTGAGTGCCTCAGAGAGCGGGAGTGACAGCGAACTCTCAACCCAAAGTGCAAGGGTGATCACTATCAATGAAGCACACAGTAGTCCCTGTGAGGTAAGCAATGTGTATGCAACAGGTGATACTTCTTCAGACGAGTCGTCCGAGGAGGAGGAAGTACAGGAGGTACCATTACCGCGAAGGAGCACCAGACGGAAGAGACCCACTCCGGATTGTTACCTATGTGATCACTAGATCATGGGGGAGTGTAGTGGAACTGAAAGGCAGCAGTCTGTGGGTTCTGCTGAACTGACTACAGTTCGCCATTCTAAGAGGCAACGAGTGGCATGCGTATGTAAGCAGAATAGTGGACACTTACGCAAATGTAGCAACAGTCCCTGGCAAAATGAAATACTGGACGGACGAGGAAAGAAAAGAATGGCCTACCTTGGAAACGTCTATGAATCTGTGCGTCATGTAAAGTCCGGCTGAAAAAGGAATCAAAATGGCGGCGCCCATGTTTTATGACAGGTGGTCTCGGACAACTAATGCGAAATCTCGTTGGCTAGTCATTTGTATGTAAATTATGATCGGTCCTCGGCTGTATAAAGTGAGCCGTCTTTTGGGAGAGACAGAGGCGGTCTTGTTGGCGAGAAGCGAAGGCTGGGAGTGTGACCCAATTTTGCCGTCTCTACGTAGCCTGTTGGAATGTTACATCGGACAGTCGTTGAACTGGATTTTGGCTACAAGTGTTGCGGTTGAGAGACGAATCTGTTGCAGACTTATTCCTACCAGAAATTGACACTCATTATTTGTTTTCTTTTGCTTTTTCTTTTCCTTATCAACACATTTATATTCTTTCATTGTTCTCTCTCCTTAATGTTTTACTTTTTATTATATTCTTTCACACTCAGTAACTCCCTTACATCTTACTGTCTTTATTGCCTTGCTGGGAGTGAAATGATTAAAAAAAGTTATAGTTACAGTATTTTCAATGTTTAAGTAATAACACTCACAAAGTTATATAACATTATCCACACACACACATATAATTGAATATGAAAATTGATATACCTGTTAAGTTATTTTGCTGGGAAAATGTTTCCAACATTATCTCCATTACTACCTCCTCTTGATTGCAATTGTTGTATACTTTTAAATCTATAAAAGTAAAAGAATCTGAGTCAACTTTTGAACATTGACATAATGACAGGTAAAAATAATAATTTTTCCTGTCTAAGAGTAAGAAGTCATCATTTGACCAACAAGAGATGATTTGTTGAAAGCTGAATTCAACTTTGAAATGACAAACATATCTATTTTCTAAGATTTCTATAAATTCATGTTAGTCACTTTATTAATGGACATCTATTTATTTTAAAAGAGAAATTCCAGTACCTATCTCTAAAATGTTTACTAAGAACAGGGTTAAGAAATAATAAAGAAAATCTGAGAAAAGGGTTGATGAAATTAATCTCTTTTCATATAGTTTTAGAATGGAAATGGAGAACGCATTATAATAAAGAGCAGACACAAACAATAAAAAGCAGTTGTGTTTTATTGGCAAATCATGAATAATACTCAAAGTAAAATTTCTGAAGGAACCCAAAGTTAATATTTGAAAGCCCATTAAGATTAAATTCCCTTAACTAAATTTGGTAGGAAATTTTAAACATTTCTAAATAGATAAATTAAAAAAAAACTCCAATCAACCACTCCCGGGTGTTACATTTTAAATCAAGAGCTTGATCACCATCCAGCACCTTGATATAGCATTGGCCTGGAAGCATTGACCCTGAGAACCTAGAATGAAAAAGTGGAGTGGAATGTACCTCCTTGTTTATGACCCAACTCCCAACACCAGGACCATCACAGATAACATGAATTTAGTGTGCATGACCATAGGTATCTTTGTGGGATCTGCACAGAGCTACCTCTCTAAATTTTCTCGGGCTAGCATACCTCTTTTCATTTCTTATATCAAATTAAAAACTGTCAGATGTTCTCTTGATAATTCTGAATTCTTGCTTACACTTTAAAATTCAGCATATGCTGTAAAACATTGTCTTTCATTTATGGCTGGTTAAATGCTTTCAAATACTGCACACACCCTTTATATGAAAAAAATGAATGGGGAATTCAAATTTAAGATGTTTTTAGCTAACTATTCCCAGTGCATAGTTATATACAAATTTTGAAAAAATAATTACACTTTCCAAGGGTGGAAGAAGTATGACACCATGATTTTTTTTTTTTTACTTAAACATGAATGAGACAATTATATAAAAATGAGCTGTGTGTATATCTGAGATTTTCTCAAAAACTATTAGAGACATCCATAAAACTATATAATCTGAATCAACATTATTCAAGAAAGGTTTTATGTCATTTAATTATACCTAACATAATTTTTACTTAGATTAATCCTTAAAAACTGGCCTAGAAGAGTAATTTTTTATTTGAATAAACTTTTAGGGTCAAATTTGTACTTTTTCCAATCCTTGTTTGGTTATTACTCTTTTAGATGTTTTGAGAAAATTATTCCAATTTCTTAATTCATTTAGTGTTGTTTATGCTTATGGTTCACATTACTTTTTTTTTTTTTTCTGTATTCAATTCAAACTACTCAAAAATTCCAAGGTGTAAACTTGAAATATGTTCTTTACCAAGTACAGCTTACTTATTTATTTGAAGGCCCATTAATATTAAATTCACTTAACTAAATTTGGTAGAAAATTTTAACCATTTCAAAATAAAAAAAATTTAAAGATTCATTATCCAGCCACTCCTGGGGTTACACGTTAAGAGCTTGACCACCATCCAGCACCTTAATTTAGGTGATTAAAAATAAACTTTAAAATTAAATTCCCCTCCCATTTCAAACAAATAAATATAAACACAGAAATCTTGCTTAGACTTTTAAAACTAACATCACTATACATCCTTGTCAAAGATTTTAACTGAAATATCATAATTTTTGTATTTAAAATTTAATAGAAAAAAGTACAAGCGTTTAATTCTGATTAGCATTTATTAATATTTTAGACTTTATTAGTCATTTTATTAGAAAACTCCTTCAATACTGATTATTCCAACTTATTCCATTTTTTTTTATCTGTAACTAAAGTTTCTGAAATATTTTCAAATACAATTCAATCATTTCCCCACAAATTCTCTGAAATCTAGAGACTGTTCTTATTCAGGTACAAAAATATTTGAACTTCATAATCTTGGAAATGTTTATTTACCAGAATAAAGAACCATTATTCTACTGGTTTAATGCCAGAGCAACATGAACAAGTTATTCAGGGATGGAAATGAGATGCTTTTTAAAAAAATTTATTCTTTGTAGTAACTAACAGTAACACTTTCAAGGCAGAGAATCAGTTACTGGTAAATCAAACCCAAACTATTATGCTCCCCCCCCCTCCCCACGAGCCTTTTTTCAAATTTTTCAGTCAATCTTCTCAGATATAACTTATCTGAAAACATGAAAAGTGTAGTCAGGTAAATCAGAGATTTAAATACATTTTGGAGGAAATTAATATGTATCTTTGTAAAGGTCAATAAATTTCTATCAGCAATAATCCTCTTTATGGGTTTTATTTTGTTTCTTTTAATATGCACAAATTCTTTAAAAAAATTCTTCACTGGAAGCAAAAACTTTGAACAAAATCATTGTCTGCTCCCTGTCAGTTGAAACTATAAGGCTAAAACTATGGGCTAAAACTTTCATAGGCTGACTATCAAGGAGTGGTGCTGGGGCTGTGAAATCTTATATGCATTAATTTCAACTTGTCTTAATGCTGCTTTTTAGGTAAACTGACATCTGACTGTTCAAAGAAGACTTCAAATGTAGCTAGTAGTGGCTTCTCTTGAAAATGGACAAAATTCGGCACTGTGGTGTTATCAAGTATGTAGAAAAAGGGTTTAGCCCCCAAGGACATTCTTGCTGACAGAGTTGTTACATTAGGAGATGATGTTCCAGCTTTATCAACAGTGCAAAAGTGGGTAGCTGAATATAGTAGAGGGAAGGAAATGTCTTCACGATGACCCAAGATCTGGATATCCTGCAACTGCCACCACCAAGTAAAACATTAATCGTATTCACATGGTGATGGATTACAGCTGATAGACTATAAATCAAATAGGTAATGCTACTAGCATATTCCATGAGATAATTGAAAATATTCTGCACAATGAATTTGCTATGATGAATATTTCTGCTCAGGTGCCATGTCTTTTGACGCCTGACTTGGCTGATCACATAATGGAAAATCTGACATTGTTTGAGGTAGATTCAGCTGGTTTCCTTAAATGTTCCCTAACCCACTCTGAGCAAGAAATAAAGAAACAATCCATGCAGTGGAAACACCACTCCTCGTTTGCTCTAAAGAAGGCTAAGATCATTCCATCTGCAGGGAAGGTAATGGCCTCAGTTTTATAGGATGCAAAAAATTTTTAAAAGGGCCATACCATCAATGGAGAGTACTATGCAAACTGAGGCAGTTACAAAAACATATCAAGACAAAATGTCTAAGAAAACTGATGAAAGGGGTCTTGTTACAATACTCCTTAGTTTCAATGCTTGCTGTGCATGACTGTGACTTTAAACTAATTGACCAATGTCTGTATTATCCTGATTTGGCTCCTTCTGACTATCATCTGTTCCCTAACATGAAAAAAAACTTTTGTCTGAGAACCAGTATTATGATGACATCATATCTTCTGTGGGTGACTTTTTTGACCAATAGGATGAAAGTTTCTTCACCAATGAGATCCAAGCCCAGCAACACCAATGGAAGACATGTGTGGACCGTAAGAGGGAGTATGTTGAAAAATAAACCACAACTGGTCACATTTTATGAAAGTACCTTGGTCAGCCTATGAACTTTTCAGCTAATCCTCATAATTTGGCCAATATTCACTTGTTTTTCAGATCAATTTTTTCTGGCTGAAGTCTCTCTTGGTGAAATTTCAAATTTCTTTCTTTCTTTCAACTTCTTGGACCTGAAACTATGACCTGATAAAATGAGAAAATTCTTCTTTTCTTGAAAGCTAACAACTGATTGTGTGTGTACTGGGTCTATAATATAATTAGATCCGATATTGGAATATTGCATTACATCCCAAAAAGAAAAATGAAATTGTGCTAATATATCAGAAATTAACTCCATTTCTTGATTCTTGTTTAAATACTGAAAATAAAATGAATGTTATAAGAAGAAATAATTGATAAAAATTAAATCTCTACAAAATTAAACACCCACTTTCGTTAATTTAATTCTAAAATTGTCTTAAAAACAAATAACATTTAATAAATTTTAAAAGTTAGCAAGTAAAAAAAAAAAAAGTAAAATTGAAGGAAATTGAAAATGGGGGAAAATTAAAATAATAATTAATCAGTTTGAATTTTTTCAAAAGAAATAAAAAAAACAAAATAAGTACAGCAATTTAATTATAACATTTCTACAATTATTGATTGTCTACTATTCTCCTGATGAAATTAATAGACTGAAATTAAATTTTTGAAAACCAATGGAATAAATCAAAATTAAATAACGAAAATAAAAACCACATAAAAACCAAAAAGGTTTGACTCTGAGGTTATAGTATTTTTAATTTAAACATTTTTTAATCATAAAAAATAAGTTTGTACTAAGACATTCTTCTGACACGTTTTACAAAATTTACATTGAAATGTTGTCGAATATAAACTTTTTAACTTAATCATAAATAATTGTTTACAATGTAAATAAACGTCAAAAAACGTCTTCAGTCTAAAAATAAAAAACAAACAAACTAAATTTGGATATATTTACTGTGCGAGTAAGCAAACAAATCTGACATTTAATTTTTGATTTGTCTATAAATATTTCGCAAAACCTTTTTTATTTTTTGGTTTCGAAGATCATTGTGAAAGTTATCTTATTCTGAATGATAATTTTAAAGAAGCTAAAAAAAAAAAAAAAAAAAAAGAGTTAAGAATAAGATTCAGAATTTTTCCTGGAATTGGAATAACAAAAGATAAGAGAATCTTTCTGTTATGAAACGTTCAGAAAATTTCAATTCGGGTGTGTCCTTATCGCTTAAATTGTCATTTCTGAAGCAAAGAAGTATGGTTCTGCTTGCTTTGTATTTCTCGTCAACGTCAACATTTTATTTTTAATAATACATTTGATGCCAATTTTTATGGTGTATTCAAAATATTTGACATAAAATTAATCAAGCAACGAAAATCTGAAATTATGATAAAATATTTAGAGACTAAAAACTAAAAAGAGTCAAGCAAGAGAATGTGGTTTAAAACTCATTTTCAATAAATAAATAAATAAATAAAAATAAGCAACAATTTAAAATTTCAATCATTCGAACTACTAGTTTTTTATGTATATAAATTAAAATAATCCATATCTTACCAACTGAAGCATTTGTTACAAGATATTGTAGTTTTAAGTTATTTGTTGCCGAACGTAATTCCGTAGTTTCTTTTGTAGTATTTGTCGAATGAATAGGAACTAGTCCTAATATGTTGAATGTATTGCTTCTCACGGAGATGGAGTTCATTTGTAAAATCAGTATACAAATAAGAAGAGTAAAAAACGGGTATTTTTTTGTCATCTGGTTCATTTTGATAAAGTCCTTTTTTTAAAAATTAATCCGAATTGTAGGATGCACCTGAAGGCATGCCAAGGCTATTTTGCTAAGTTTAAAAAGATGTCTGAACGTTTTTAGTTATAAAAAAGTTCCGGGTAGCTCACGTACAGGGTTGGCGTTATAGTTCAGTAGTTCACACGAGAGAGAAAAAAAAGGTGTCAAGTTACTCTTTAAAAAATATTAACGCTAAACAGTTATGCAGACTAGTATGTATCATTTGCGGTCCATTAACTCAATCTTGTTGGAGAAAAAGTAGTGTCTACTGTGCCAGATGTTGTGGAATTTGAGCTAATTGGATGTATCAGAAGGTGTAATTGTGTGAAGGCTTAGAAATGTGCGTGTTCGTTAAGCATTCATCCACAACAAATAAAATAAACAAACATTTGAAGGCAATTCAATTAGAAGAAATCAAGGAGAAACAACGTAGTTATAGATTTCAACAAATAACATGCATTTATACATTTGATACACACAAGTGAATTTTAAGTTCAATGTGAATAGTGAGATAAATAAATTTGTAAGGCGTGACCATGCAGTGATTTGGTGTATGAAAGCTTGTAGTTAAGGTTTGTCTATGAAATTAAAACAGTTTGCTTTCTGCAAGGTGAAATGTCACTTGTGCGGATTCAGATTAGTGTATATGTGTGCGACAATTGTAAATATTGTTTAAAGTCATAATGTGCCGTTGACTGATATGGTAAGTTGACTAAATACAATTACTACTTCGGAAGTGATAATGTAACTTTTTCTAGTAAATTGTAAGCTGGGTCAATTCACGAGGCAAGACTTTCTGAGTTGTGTTGAGCTGATGAGAGAGAGTGGCGGTTGTTGAGCCAGTGTGCTGGCGTGCGTGGAGTCTGTTGGCATCTCTCAAAGACTTAGTTACCGAATATTTATTATGCAAAAATACATAATTGTGGCACATGGCCTAAAAGGGTTGAGGCTGGTCAACACTAACTATCCTATACCTAGCTAATCCGATTCACGACTCATTCACTCATTACAATTTCCACATTCACCATAAAAACTCGCCCGTCACCACTCAATCCTCCATACACCGCAATACCACATTCACTCAAGGGGAACCTACAAAACGCACCCCATGCCATAAAAATTTAATGATAATCTTACTTATTATAAAACGCAGATTGTGTTTGTGTGTGTGTGTGTGTGTGTGTGTGTGTGTGTGTGTGTGTGCGTTTATATATGGGATTGTATTTCCTACATTTTTCAACCGATTTCAACAAAACTTCACAGGACTACGTAAAATTATCCGGCGGTGGTTCTGACAGCGCCAAGAATTGGAAAAACACAATTGTTTTTGCACGAAATCAATTTGAAAGCACGGTTAAGGGTATCGCACCCGGCCGGAAGTTACTGCCGGCTACTCAAACGTCCGAATGACTCAGCGTTTTTTTTTCAGAGAACGATACACAAAAAGTAAACAAATGAAACATAAACATACACAAGTCCTCCTAACTAAAAATAATAACCGGAAACTACTTTAAATACACATCGTGTCCAAATGAAACCCATGTGTACAGTCAAAATGCGAAAGTTAATTTTTAGTCATCAACCAAGAGATATTGCCAACCAGCTACGATGCTAACATCAGCTGCCCATAAACACAGCCGATTTCTTCCACCAAGAGAGGAATTTTTGTCCCTGCCCGAGTGTATGCGCTCGGGTCCCCCACATTAATCCGACCTTGTGTCACATCTCATTCTCGTGGGGGAACGAGTAAACGCCGCGACGTGCTCCCCCTCTCACCTTCACCTGGCCCACCCCCGTGGAAAATAAACCCCCTCATCTCAAGTGTTAATAAAAGCAACGCATGTCAGATTTATAAAGATTTCCTATTTGTCCCTTATCCTATCATTCTCTTGCATTCCTATCAATATTTGATCGTAATTTATATATATGAAAATAGATGCAAACTATGCCTGGAAGAAAAAAATTAAAATAAGTTTATATAGTCTTAATTTCTTAAAAATAGACATTTATTTTGCATCAAATACTGAAAAATATGTATTAGGTTTGTAAATAGGTAAGTTTATATGTACGTATGTGTTTATTGTATATGTGTGTATCTGTTTATTACTTTTATTACTATTATTATTACTTTAAATATATTATATATATTTTTTTATTGCTATTGATGTTTAAATAAATAACAACATAGATTGCATTTCTGTGATTTTTATTACTGGTTGTGCAGTTAAAGTTTTATCCATAAAATTTTCCCTTACTGCAATATTCTCAAAAAAATCTAAAGTAGGATCTGTAATGTAATCGATACTGAATTAGCTTCTTGACTTCAGCCGCTTTCTCACAGACGTGATGTGGCTTCCCTCTGTCATTTCTACAAATATTTTCATGGCTACTGCACTGATGAGCATTTTTATCCTGGTGCCCTGACTACATGAATTTAAGTGTACTACTAGATTGGCATCTAGGTCCCAACTTTTTACTGTTGGAATAGTTAAATGTAACCGCCCTTCTAACAGTTTCTTTCCTTGCACTTCTCCATATTGGAACTCCATTCCTCTCACTTGCTTCTCTGATAACTATAATCATCAAAAACCTAAATGCAACCTCAGTCACCATGTTTTGTTGCATTGATACTTATTCTTTTTTCCTTTCTTCACCCCCATTACACCCACACTTTTCTCTCATTTTTACTCTCCATAACCCCCTGTGTAATAATGGCACTTCTGACTTGCTTGGGGTGAAATGCTTAAAAAAGCCCCAAAACATTAAATATAAAATAATTAGGGTACTGACAAAAGCATCTAAAATAATTAGGGTACTGAAAATAGCATCTACCGTAAAAAAGTGCTCAATATAATAATATATATATATATATATATATATATATATATATATATATATATATATATATATATATATATAGGCAGGACGTGTGTGTGTGTAACGAATGCATGGCCGCAATTTTCGACGGATTTGCACCAAAATTTACCTGCACATGCTCCAAGTTAGCGGAAAGGTCAAGACTGACTTTGCATTTCCCAACTCCCATCGATAGTGGAAATAATCGATTTTTTCATGCTTCTACGGCAGTTTTCATGTAGTTTACGGCCATTTTCTACTGGCCAGAGTGAGAGCCAATAGCTGGCTGCAACGAATAGGCAGGAAGATTCTATTGGCCAGCATGAGAGCCAACAGCTGACTGACACGAATGTTAACTAGCATGCAAAAAAAATCGATAGCTGCATTCGTCACAAGTGGGAAAAATTTAAATCTGCATGGCACTTTACTCTAATTGGCTCATTCGCTTGCTTAAACTCAACGTTGATTTTGATTCCGCAGAACTGAGTTGGGTGTGAAAAAGTATTTGTTGTTAACATTCTTTTTTCATTCGGTTCTTCCAGTTACGACTCCTTTTTTTTTTTAAAGCTGATCGTTTTGTGTTCATTTTGTTTAGTTCTATTTTCGTAACAGATTTAATGTTTAGGATAGAGCTTAGAAAAAATTCGCGTGAGATAGGCAAGAAGTAAGGCATGTAGCAACATCAGCACGGCAAAGGGCACTCCTTTAAAGGCAAGGAAGGGCAAAAATATTTTAAGTCAAGTGATAGCGATTGCTGTATGAGTCGTACGATTTTTGAATCAAGTACGGGCAACGCCGGGCCATGCTGCTAGTAAATATATAAAAATCTAATAATGAAGAATGAGAGGGGAGGGAGATGAACCCAGTAACAAACTAAAATATCAACACAAGTCAAACTAAACATAACTATGTTAGTAGGGCCCGTCCAACCCTCAAAAAGAGAGGCCGCTGTATTCTACCCACTGGACAAAATCAAGAGGCTCTCTCGCTAAGGGAGTGGGAAAGGAGAAAAAATATACGGACATAGGAAATATAAAAGCTGACCCAGTCGAGATGAAAAGGGGCCAAAACAAACTTGGGAGGTTGGGAATGTCAACTTGAATCATAACCAAAGAGGCAGCCGGGAACAGGTTAGGAACAACACTTAGTCACATTAACTAGGTACACAAGGCTTGTCTAACCTAACCAAGGGGAGGGCTCCACAGGAAACCACCCCGATGTGACGTAGGTTGACCTAAAAGAGAAAATCAAGGCTAGCCCCGGACAACGAACCAAGCTCGCCTCAGTCACCCGCCTTGTCGAATGCAAGCGTTTTCTATCAGTTCTGATCTTCATCTTGAGCTGATGCTCAAAGAATCGGATCAGATCCTGATGAGGAAGACGGTTGCCTAGCAAGACTTCGTCCTGTCGCGTCGTCCAAATCACCATTCGGGCCGTGGCCAGCAACATAAGAAACACCATTCGTTTCACCCCAGAATACGGGGGCGACACATTGTCACACGCGTATGCGCGATCGATGAGCACAAGCATTTCGGGAGCGAGACGAGCCGTCAACTTGCCGACATTGTCCCATAAGGGGCGGACCCATGGACAATGGTAGAAGGCATGCGAAGCCGTTTCCTTTAAACCAAGGCCAAACCGTTCACAGTCTGGCAAATACGCCAAGCCCCACAATTAAGACCTTGTCATTGAGAGGCAGCCGATTCCAAGCCAATCGCCAGGTAAGCGAAAATTCAGGGTTACTGAGATAATCCGCCGCTGGCGACCAAGACCAGAAAGAGCGAAACTCCTCCTCCGATAAGTCGAGCCGCTCATGTAGCAAATCCTTCGCAACCCCTCCACTAAATGACGATAGAAAACTTTCCTAGGCCGAGAAAGGTCACTGGACCGCCAACAAGGTTGACCGACACTCGCGAAGGAAATCCGATTGATCCCAGGTTTTACGATGGCGCTCAACCCGCAAGATGGGGGACTGATAGTAAGGAAGGGGAACGCTTCCCTAACAATCCCCGCTATAATCGAATCTCCTGTCAATGCGCAGTGCAGGAAAGCCAACCGCG